TTGTGACGTAATAAGTTACTGTGCACAGTTAGGGCTATCCTTTTTTCTATCAAGCTTTTTTAAGCTTAGTAAATTAAGGGTTGTTTATTTTTCTATGTTTTTTTATATGATTCCATTTTTTTCTTTTTAGTGTTATTTGATGGTGTTGGGGTCGGGGGATTTTGTTAGTTCTTTACTGTCAATACATGTGTGGTTAATTTGCTGTCCCAAACTGTGACATTTTAGACAATTCCATATGGCAGGCTAGACCCTCCCAAAGGTAAAAAAAAAACAAAAAAAACAGCTGATTAAATGTATGCCTTTTTGGCATTTTTATTGGGACAAGGAGACGAAGGGCGACTGGTGATGAAGTCTTTAGAGATGTGTGACTATAAACGAGATGGAATGGCCACAGCAAACCTACTGGGGGTCTCTTGGAGTACTTCGACATTTTGCAGGAAAAACAGGAAGCCACGTATACCAACAGATCTTTCTAAACATTTCTGGAGCAAAGCAGGACCCTAAAATTATCAATTTGAATACTATTCAATCACTGTGATGCAATCTGGGCCCCAGTGGTAACTGGATCAGAAAGTATAGTTTCCTGGAAAGAGTTGTACCTTGATAGACGTTGATTGATTATGACTACTTAATTTTTGAGGAAGCCTTTCAAATTCAGATTGACATCCCTGAAGACAAAAATGCCAAAAAAATTTGACCATATTACAAGTTTAGATTTGACTCAACATAGTGAACAACAAACGCAAAACAGGCAAATTTTTTCCTTAATAGCCACTGGGGTAATATCAATAAATAAATAAAGGACGGGACATTTTTTGATTCAGTAATGAACCTTACATCGTGACCACATAATCCCTTGTGATGTCTCCCAAGTTTAAATCCTGGAGTGTCTCCTATTCAATATATACATACTACACTTAACTTTAATGAGACATACATTACCGTAACTATGCAGATGAAACACTTTTAAACATTACAATGTCACCAGGTGACTATGAACCCATTTTAGCACTTATTAGATGCAAAGAAGAAATCATTGCTCTGCCCATATATTCTTCAGGTGAATCAAAGTAAAACTAAGTTAATAGCCTTGGGATTGAAGGAAAAACATATAAAAGCTTTAGTTAATACAGCTAGATACTACCAATCAGGCTTGAAATGTGGCTGTAGTGATGAACTCAGACCTTCACCTTCAGAGGCACATAAGGAGAGCAACACATTTAGATTTCTATCATATAAAGAACACTTTGATGACTAAAAGATTTTGCAGGATATTGAAAAACTAATTCACGTGCTTATCTATAATATAAAGTCAAAATTTCAACATTGTCTTCACAGGTCTGCCTAAAGAGTCGATCACACAGTTCCAGCTTATCTAGAATACTGCTGCCCGTGTCCCTAACTAAAACTAAGAAAATGGACCATACCAGTTTTAAAGTCACTGAATGGCTTAGTACCAAAATACAATAGATTTGTTGTCAGCAGTGTTGTTTCTGACAGACATCTTAGATTTAGTCTTAGTCTTCAGAATGAAAACTAAAATTAGTCTTTGTCGCATTTTAGTCATTACGATATGTGATAGATTTAGTCGACTAAAACAAAAAAAGTTTTTGTCTAGTTTTTGTCAGTTTTATGTTGTAAAAATAGTTAACCTTCACAATTTCGAATAACAACCAGATTCTTTACCAGACTGACGGCTCCAGCCTAGATACTACAATTGCTAGAATGCTCCCGTGCAGTTCATCATTGCTGTTGGGCTGCAAACATTTTTATTTTCCAGAAATAAAATAAACTTTTTTTATGAATGACTTTTTTTTAAAAAAGCTGTAAGAATAGCAGATCTAGTTCAACACACCATACTGGTTAATATAGCAGACATATAAGCTAGCAAAATGTACAATAAATAAATGGTTTTAGCGATATAAGGTTTTCATCCCAAAGCGAACATTTCCTGATCTACTATGAATTATGCATTGCACGCAGATAAATAAAATCTTCAGTTCTCCAAAAAAGCAAAGAACTATAACATTCTTTTTTCTATTTTGGCTTTATTTCTGAGAATTTCCCCCTTGGTTACCAATGCTCAGAGTAGATTTAAATTCACAGCGTTTAGATATAAAAAATACAGAGAGAACCTACATAATTGCCTTGTAATGCCATGGCAATCAGGACCTAAATTGAATAAATTTGTTAACTAAAATGTTGAAATATTTAAAGGAAACATAGAAAATGTTTTAATGGCAATACGAGGAAATATTTACATTATATTTAACCAGATACAAATGAAAACAATGAGAGAAAAATATTCAAAGTTCTATGTACCTTTTCACTTGGGTCGTTATCCCCAAAAAAAAAAAAAAAAAAAAAACAGTTTTCAAAGAAATATTTTCTTTGGATATAATTTGGGGATTCCTTTTGGTAGAAATTAAATAATGTTTATTATCACCTCTTGTGAGCTGGAAAAAATAAAATCTAAATAGTTAGAATAAAGGATTTTTTAAGCTTGTTAGAGGATGATCAGCCACATAGTTTATTAAGTAGTGAGAGCAACAAGAGCCGGACTGTTGAGAGCGCACCATCAGTGTGGAGCGTAAAGCCTCGACTCTAAGCTAAGCACAACTGGAAGATCAAAACAGTTTGTCAAAAGTTGAGTGCTCAGTACTGGACGATTCCAGGATATTTTCTCCTCTGCCGCTGCTCTGATCCATCTGTAGTCATGCAGAATCTGCACCGCTGCACGCCAAGGGGAGCGCATAACCAAACAAGACGCAGCAGCACGGCTGATACTTTTTAACTTGCCTAACAGATTACAGCACAATGATGCATTTTAAATGTCTGCTTGCAGCCCGCTAATTTTTATTTAGTCTCGTCTCATTGACGAAAACTCAAACCTATGACTAGTCATGTTTTATGCTTTATGTTCAGCTCATCAGTTTTCGTTATAGTCATGAAGAAAGTAGTGTCAATGAAATTATTTCATCATCATCATTGTTGAAGAAAACAAGACTGGTTGTCAGTGCATCAACTGCCAAGACCAGTCAGTTCTTCTGTCCCAAGTCTACTCGGCACACTATGGTTACCAGATCTAAAAAAAAAACAAATGTGGGACAACAAGCATGCTTATGAGGGACAATGCTGGACAGATACAGCTTTTTCAGCTGCCTGTTTCTTTTGTGACTCAAATTCCACTCGTTTAAAATTGAAAATGAAATTTGGCAAACTTCAGAAAATGTTGAGAATCACCTGTAACTGGCCTAACCCAGTTTTAAACCATTCTGCTGTATTTGTTGTGGCTGGATTTTCTTTCTTTATACATTGTTTCCATAATATTTTGCATTAAAATCCTTTACCAGTATCATCAATCATGACGTGAGGCATTGGCACAGCTCTGTGACAAGGACTGCAGCTCCCCTTTTTTGGCATTGAGAAAAAGTGGCTGTGAATAATTGTTTTGACTTTTTCATAATTTCATACATTCAAATGTGGAGCATTTTTTAAATTTGCAAAACAAAGGGACTGAAGAAAATATGCAGCCTGCTCCTACACAAATCAGGAGATCTAGTCACCCTACTGCATACCCAGAACCACACATAGAGCAGAAGCTTTTAGCTCGTATTCTTCACTGATCTAATACAAACTCCCAGAAATCTTTATAATTTCCAAAACCCAAAGTTACTTTAAATCTAGATAAAAAATGTCTTAGTTCAAGGAAGATTTTGGCTAACCTAGCTAAACAACATTAGTTAAAATTTTTTGTCCAACCTTCTTTGATTTGATTAACAGTCGTTTTATTCTTTAAGTTTTGTTGCAATGTACTTTTCCTGTTGTGCTTTTCTATTATGTCCAGCACTTTTAATTGTCTTGCTACTGAAATGTCTTATGCAAATCAACTTACCTTGCCTTACTGTACTCCCTAAACTAATGTCTGCCAGACAAGGAGTGGGGGGGATTACAGTTTATAGTCAGTTTTCAAGATTTTATAGCTGATACTTAAGTCTTGAAACTTTATCTTTTATAGCTTTTTTTTTTGTTTGTTTTAACTTACTTTTTGTAACACTTTAACAAAAAACAAATGTGAAGTGCATGCCTTAACATATTTATTACTGTTATTGATGCCATATTTTTCATGATCAGAATTTTTACCTCCAATTTTCAATCTTTCTTTTATATCCTCCCTCCTCTCCAAACACACTCTTTATTTAAATAGGGCAGCTCACACCACTTATGCACATTATCTATTGCTTAATCTTTCACCCACAGCACAGCGCCCTTTTGAAAGTGCAATTTGTTTATTCACAAGCAATTTAGTGCTTCTGTTTTGAAGATTAGGTCCTCAGGGTTATTACAAATATAAAATAGTGTAGTATTTTTCTATTGAAAATAGATATTGATAGGATTTTCTTCCTCTCAGTATTATGCATGTGATTATACTGTTCAACATTCAACAATTACCCTAACACTTGATTCCAATCTGACATTCAAGGGGCCTGCACAAGAGAATATGGAGAAAAACAAAGCAATCCATCTAAGGCAATTTGAAGCTTCAGATAATTGTACAAAATGTCACATAATTGTTGAAACAAGTCAAAACAACATGCAGCCCACACAACATTATGCAGACTGACATGAAGTCCATTTCTGCAAGGTCTGAGTCATTTCCTTCAGTGCCAAATGGTAAACAGTGCAATTTCTAGCCCCCTGCTGTGAGCTGTCACTCTGTCCCAACTGATGTTACTTCAAAATTTTTTTTTTACATTAACATCACCTTGTGAATAAAATGCTTGAGAACTGACTGTGGACTGGGTCATATCAATAGGTCATATCCCTAAATATTAAAAATCATATAGTTAAGAAAAAACTCTGATCACTTGTTAGGTCTTCAGACGTCTTTCCACTCTTCCCACACACCAGTTAAGCAAACTTTAGTTCTGCAGTGACAGAACTTTTAATCGTGCCGTTCTCATTTAATAATGTACTAAGTGGACAATGCTTTCAACCAGTGTCATTCTTAAACCTTTATTAGTGGTACAACCACACAAAAAAACATTTACAATGCAATCCTACCTGAGTTTCTTATTTTTAAATCACACGGGCAAATTTGGCTCCCCTAACACATATGGTGAGCTGATTCTACTCTGCAGCGATTGAAGAAATAGCAGGATAAAAAAAAAGTCTCCAGAATACAAGGTTTATCATCTTGCCTTTCAAAGTGCTCTGGACTTACTAGAAACCTGAGTCAAAAGTGTTTTACGCTTATATATAGCAACATGATTGAACCTACTTTCCTAAAGATATAACAAAAACACAAGCCATTAAAAAAGCAACATGTATGTTGACAAAAAATCTCACATTTATTGTATTTGTTAAACAAGTGTTGAACTTTACATCAGTCTTAAGTGATAAGCCCCTTATGTTTACATAAAAAACATGAGCTACAGTACAGCATGTATACCAGTGTGGGAACTTGTTCACAAATTTCCCAATTTATTTATTTATTAACGTTTTTGGAAAGATTTTAATAAATAAAATATTTAAACCGGAAGATCTGCATTTAGGATAAAAACTTTATTTTCAAAAGTCAGCAGTCTCTATCTCAGCAGTGCCTTTCCATCACTCTGCTGTGATTGTTAAAAGGTCTATTTTAATCAAAATAATGACAAAAACTGTGCAATTAATAAATCACTTTTACTGGGTTGTTGCAATACCCTTCTACTAAAGCAATGTCCCTTTGGCAAATTCAGAAAAAGATATTCCAAAGGTCTATCAATACCAACTCAAATTACTAAAAGAAAAGAAGTAAACAAAACCTTGGTCACAAGTTATAAAGTGATGCATTGTTTGACTCCTTTCTTTTAATAGGCCTTTACGCTCAAACATACAACCATGAATGAAGTGTTGGTACCATAAACACACTGTATGACTTATGTGCAACTTTTATACAATAGTCCCTCAAGTGTTAAAATTTTGCAAATAAAAAGTGTCTTTATGATTAGGCTTTTTGCCCCAACCCCATCCAATGAGTTCTTATTTTACACCAGCAATACAACAAAATATATATTTGAGCAATTTCTCCTTAACAACAGTATAAGGAACAGTTGAGAAAATATAAGGCCAGGGGCTTGATTGCTAGTGGTTATACAATCCAAACTTGACGGTGATGGGAAGCAGCCAGGACCTGATATTCCTTTCTAACAGTCTGATCAGGAATTTCTTTTACGAACAAGTCCATGTCCTGGTCCGGGGGTGTAGAAATAAAACAAACAAAAATGATGGTTCAGCTTGAAAGATGGAAGGTGTATGTACAACCTTTTAAGAGGGAAATTCCTGTTTGGATGTTGCCTGTAATTTTTTTTATGTTAATTTTCTATATTTTGTAAAAGTTTTTTTTTTTTTTTCTACTCTTCTTATGTTTTCACAACTTTGCTTTTCTTAATAACTCAACAGCAGCGGCACATTTAAATACATCGTTGGCTTGTCTCTTAAAATTGGAATCTGACTCTTCGATTTATGTACATTCTCTTGATAATGTTGCGCTGCTGTTACTGAGCTGCAGGTCCCTAAGTCTGCAAGGAAAGAAATGGCAACACGGATGGAAGAGAGGAAGTCTGTAGATGCCAAGCATATATGTGTATGTGACAGAGTTTAAACTTCAAGGCTCTATTTAAAAATAAAACAAAACACTTGTTTTTCCTTCAGTGGGTGTGTCCTGAAAGAGGTCAGGTTTGTGTCAGGATAGTGGGGATGATTTAAATACATTTAAAGGCTTGTCACTAATTGCATCTGTCCTTCTTGTACATCACCTTCAGGGTTGCAGTCCTCTTTTGTAACTGGAATAATGTAGCCATCGCTGGTTCCCTTGCCTATCTGGTAATAGGCCTGGAGCTGATGGCCAGCCCCCAAGTTAGGCATGCTTTTGTAATAAACATCCTCATTCTCGCTACCTTTGGTAGAGGAGACCTCCTCCACATCGGGGCTGCTCTCAGGACATGGAGAGTCTGTAATATTGGGCATACTAGTGTACAAACAGTCTCTGTTGGGGGACTGTGGACTATCGTCGGGGTTTGTGGTCACCAGTGGGCTGACAAAGGTATCGACTTCCCCATTCGTCCTCACCTTCTTCTGTGGTGCATACAGAAGCGAGTGAGTCCGCTGGGGGATGAGTGGTGCTTCCAGCTCCTGCTGATGACGCAGCTCCAGGCCCCCCGTGTCGCCCACATGAACTAAAGATGAAGCATCAGCCACAATGGCATTGTCTTCCCTACTGCTGCCACCTACCACTGTCACCTTGGGGGGAGCCCGCTCCGTGTGGTGGTGATGGTGATACTGCGGTGGCAGAGGTGGCTGCTGGCGGTGGGGTGGGTGACGTAAACTGGAGTGCTGCTGCTGTTGGTGGCTTTTGTTACAGGCACGCAGGTTGTTGTGCACAAGCTCGGAGATGATCATTTTCTCAAAGGCAGCATCGTCCAAGCTCAGTCCGCAGTCCACTACCTGCACACTGTCACCAAAGTCCCCATTACGGAGGGAGTAGCTATTGTTAAAGTTACCATTTAGCGGTAGAGTATCCATTGCACTTGTATCCCTCACCGCACTGTTCAGTGAGTGCCCTGGGAACAAAGAAACATATCAAGATATAATACATTAGTCATCACCAATAACTGTAAAGACTAGAATAAATACTTTAATGCTGTTTAGGATGCAGTTTCGTATAAAAAGGGAAATTTAAGCCATGCTTTAAATCTGTTAATTTGGCACAATTCCTGACATACAATACATAGGCATGCAGTTTGTTTGCAATGAGAAATCATTTTGAATTTTCTCATGTATACGTTTCAACTTTCCCTTTTAAAAATTGCTGTTAAAAAAGCAGGGCATTTTGCATTAGAGTCTGCCACATATGTGACAAAGCAATGAAAAAGATCCCAAACAACATTAGGAAACAAGTCAGAACAAGTAATCACTATGACGAGACACCAGGCACAGGTGGATATATAAGTATGAAGCAACAAATTGGCAGGCTACGACACATACAAGATATCTAGCAACTAACAGAGTTATGGTGGGAGAGTAAATAAAAGCAAGGATATGTGGGGGAATGTGACAGTCACAGAAGAGGGAAAGAAGTTATGTATTAACATGAGACAGCCATCTTTATTCTCACTACAAGGGGAGCCCACAAGCAGCACTCCACCATCACCACACACAGCAGGTGAAAAGACTCACTTTAGACAACTCACATCATGTCTGTCTGCTCAGGCTATCTGGTCTAAGAGCAGCTGATGTACAAAAAAAAAAGTAAAAGAATGATTTATTGTAACATGAAGAATTGCTAAAAGAACAACAAAATGTAAGATAAACGTCTTAACTGCAACAGAGCAAGAGCAAGGGTTCAGCAAATGAAACAGGTAAGCATTAAACGGCTTTACATTTAGAGATCTTATATGCAACAGATATGGGGACTTGTGAAATTATATTCACACCCCTTGAATTCTCTTCCCACTTTTCATTTCAGGCACCAATTTTTCATGCATTTCATTCAGATTAAATGTGATAGACTAACACAGCATAGAACATAACTGTGAAGTGGATAGAAAAGAATAATGAAAGTCTGACTACAGGGCATGCATTTGTATTCATGCCTTTTTTTTTTTTTTGCACCAAATTTGGGGATTGTTTGCCTAGTGGGTTAGAGCAGTGTGCTTGTGCTCTGAGAATTTTGCAAGTACCCGGTTCAATCCCCACAGCCTCCACTCTAGGTTTCTGAGCAAAACCCTTAAAGGAATAGTACACCCAAAACATGATTAGCCTTCATTTTCTACTCACCCCCATGCTGAACAACACTCTGGAGTACTTTTTTGATATCTCAAATGCATCTGGAGATCTGGGAGGCTTCTTGCTGTCTGCTGACATTCAAATAATGGAGGTCTATGGTGCCCGAGACAGAAAGGTCCATAAAAGTCCACAAAAAACGTGTCAATATTCCTCCATACTGCTCGTCCAATGTATTCCAAGTGTCCTGAGTGGGTAGCATCCAGAATTTACTCGAAACGAAGTCATTTAGAATGTTTTTAGAGCATAAACAGTAGTGTATAGGATTTCCTGAAAGCGCGCACATGCGCGTTCACGACGCTACGGAAGCCGGCAGACCAAACCAGATGAAAGTGCGCATTCAGCGTCTGCTCTGCCAATAATGCAAGCGTAGAAGAAGAAATGTGCTGTTTACCTGTGCAAAGAAAGAAACAACAAAAGAAAAATGTCTGAGGACTTCAGTGTTGAGGAAGAGCATGAGTTCTTTGCCGAGCTGAATGCGCTGGTTTGGTCTGCCGGCTTCCATAGCATCGTGATCGCGCATGTGCGCGCTTTCAGGAAATCCTATACACTACTGTTTATGCTCTAAAAACATTCTAAATGACTTTGTTTCGAGTAAATTCTGGATGCTACCCACTCAGGACACTTGGAATACATTGGACGAGCAGTATGGAGGAATATTGACACGTTTTTTGTGGACTTTTATGGACCTTTCTGCCTCGGGCGCCATAGACCTCCATTATTTGAATGTCAGCAGACAGCAAGAAGCCTCCCAGATCTCCAGATGCATTTGAGATATCAAAAAAGTACTCCAGAGTGTTGTTCAGCATGGGGGTGAGTAGAAAATGAAGGCTAATCATGTTTTGGGTGTACTATTCCTTTAACCCCTGATTGCTCAAGGGAGCCACACAAAGGCAGCCCACTGCTCCCCAAAAAGTGGTGAGTTCAATGCAGAGCTAAATTTCTCCAATGTGAGATCAAAAACTTCAGTTATTATTATAAAAACATTTAAGTACTTTTAAAAAGGGTTTTATAATTGATTTGCAAAATGTCCAAAAAGAAAACCAACAAAACTGAAAAACCTAAGATAACACAGCCTGCCCAAAAACGGACAAGGAGATTGCTTACGAAAAAACAGCTAAGAGGTTTGTGGCAGAGATCCACAGCTTATGCCTTTAGTCAGAGGGGACAGGGAAGCTGGTCATGTTTTGATAGAGTGACAGATTGAGCTAAATATAGGAAAACCCTGCATAAGTTCTGAGACTCCATCAGTTTTAACTTCCATATAGTCACACTTTTCAAAATTTTACTGCATCTTTCCACTTCACAGATATGATCTATATTATCTTTTCCCCTTCAGATAAAATCCAAATAAGAACAAATGATTTATTCCATTTGTTGGAAGCTTTTTTTACCAAATCCAGATATTATTTATGTTGTGATTGATAGGGGAGGTACAAAGAAATATGTTCTCTGTTTACATTCTTCTATTTAATGCAGTGGGAAAATATATATTTAAAAATGGTCCCTATAAAAAAAAAATTAAAAAAGGAAACAGGCAGGGGGTGCCGACCAACTTCTATTGAATAGCCTCTCTGAATGTAATAAAATATAGGAAAAGGTCTGAAAACCTCTGAAAGAAAACAAAGAGTAGTGAAACAGCTGCTGCTGCGTCATATAAGCTAATGCCAGCTTTGGAGGCAATTTAGTGTCCAGACAGGTGTTGTTTGAAAGACTGTGAATAACACCGGACACCAAAACTGTCTAGTGTCACAAAAGGAAAATAAGGACAGACAGTTGGAGAAAAAAAAAAGAAAAAGGTTATTTTCTGAAAGAAAAAAAACAAAACAAAAAAACATATTTTTGTAAGGAAAAAAAAACAAGATAAAAGCAAAACAGTGGGTAAATTCAGGACAAATCTGTCAGAAGTTAAATCGTACTTCAAAAGACCAAATTGAGATAATTATTTTCCCTTTCTTCAAAGAAATTAGCTTAGTTCTTTTTTGTGAACCACTTGCTCTCCACTTGAGTGCGTGTTAATGGCCTAAACCAGTGATTGTGCCGTGGGTTGGGTTGTTTTAAATAAGCATGCTAAAAAGAATTTACATTTGATAGGCAAAGTTAAGTTTTACTCCCATACTTGTCTCTCTGTAGGTCACTAAAGGGAAGCACAGGGGAGAAGCACAAAACATGACACAAGATGCCACTTCAGTTTCAGAAAAGAATGACACATACAAAAACATCACAACTTATAAATGTTATAAATACTTCAATGTTATTAGCAACAGAAATATATTATTACTGTCAGCACAAGAATAATCAGGTATGAGATACTGCATTCATACACAGATAATGTAACACACGTCGTACAGAAAAATCAGATTAATTTGCACCCCTCAAAAAGATAATTCCCTAAATTATAGCTATATTTACATTTTGCTAGGGAAGATTGTCAGTCAGCCAGGTCATAGTAATTCCAAAAAAATTAAAAAACCAAAGCACTGGGTTTTGTTTCCAAGTTTCAAGATGTTTCTCTTCGCATCCAGGAAGCTTTTTCAATTCAAATGTCAGAAATAGCGTCCAGTTGCATAATACAATAGCCCAACAAAGCCTTGTTTCTGTTTAGACAAAATGCAAATTAAAAGCGGACGAACGGGTCCAATGGAGGTCGTTTGGCTTCTTTTGTTAGCCTGCAATGCCGCATACCTGTCTATGTTTTTCAAATGGGGGTCGTTAAAGGGAATTGTTGGCCTGGCTGAATAGGTGGGGTCTTCTGTTCCCCCTTAAAGGGGCTGCAATGATAGCAGGGAGGCATTAACTAAATTGCTGCATTGTAGGTTTTTGAAAGCTGAAATCTGAGTCTAGCCCATCTGTTTAAGGTTGGTTTTTCTTTCTTAACATAGATGGCTTCATTCACGCCCCTCTCAAACCACCTATTTTCTTTGTCAAAATGTGAACATTCTGGTCATCAAAAGAATGTCCAGAAGGTGTAGATGTTCTGCAGAGTCTTATCACGAGGAGGACGCTCTTCTGTGTTGTGCCATGCATCTATGAAGAAGTTGTTTGGTTTGTCCAATATCAGAGCATTTCTCACTGCATTGAACTGTTTACACCACTCCGCTCATATTTGGTCTCGGGGTTTTGTCTTTAGGATGCACTAGTTTAAGGGTCTGGTTTGGGTTTGGTTTGATGTACTGGAATTTTGTGTTTAGAAAAAAATCTTCTTTAATTTTTCAGAGACTCCAGCAACATATGGGATGGAGATGTTTTTGCATTTAATCTTCTCACCGTTATATTCTGCTGCGTGTCTTCTGTATTTCCTTGCCGATTTGACAAATGCCCAGTTAGGGTATCCACAGGTTTCTTTGATGTGTTTCTGTTCTTTGTGCTTCCCTTCTGTTTCAGCAGGGACATGCTCAGCCCAGTGTTAAAAGGTTCTGATCACATAAAGTTTGTGTTCCAGTGGGTGATAAGAGTCAAAAAGAAGATATTGGTTTGTGTGAGTAGATTTCCTATACACTTCAATGTTGAAGTTTTCATATCTTACATGTTCACCAAACAGTCCAGAAAAGGTAGCTTGTTGTCGTTGGCATCCTCTGGTGAATTTGATGTTGTGGTCAATTGAGTTATGTGTCTTGTGAAAGCTTCCACTTCTTCCAGCTAGATTTTGATGAATGTTTCGTCCACATATCTAAACCAATGAGGTTTAGATTAAACCATTGAGTAAATCCCTTCCCGCTATCATCGTAACCCCAACTCCTTTACAGGGGAGCATAAGACCCCGCCTATCCAGCAAGGCCAACAATTTCCCATAATGACCCCCTTAACAAAAGAGAATCCAAATAACCCCCATTCCAAAGGGGTGGACCTGTTCGTCTGTTTCAGTTTGCATGTTGTCAAGCAAAAAAAAAAAATAAATAAATAAAAAAAAGCTTTGTTGCACTACTGCAACTCAACGCTATTCCTGACACTTGAATTTAAAAGGCTTTCTGGATAGGAAGTGAAACTTCTTCAAACTTGGAAACAAAGTCCAGTGGTTTGTTTTTTTTAACTTTTTTGCAATCAATATATTTACATTTGAATTGCAATTTCTTAAACCGAAGAATGTATAAAAAATGTATCCTAACTGTTATTCTATTGAAAGAAAAAAACAATATTGAACAAAAAACACGATTTTTAAGGTGCTTAGTCACGTGATATGCCAATACAAAAAAAAAATCTATACAGTGCGTCAGCCAGGATTTCTGTTTGATATTCCTTTTTGAGCTCAAATAGAATTAAAGCACTGGGTGCGATAAGTAGACTCAGGCTATGTTCCCACTGGGTGAACATTATCTGACTTCATGGCAAATCCTTGGAAATTGTGCAGTAAGACTGTGATTAAAAGAAATGAATGTAAATTAACATAGAAAAGCCACAGTGGTGGATTTATATTTAAAAATTAACTAAACAGTAGTTGAACCTTCTTCTACAGTCATTTGAGTTCCAGCCATTCTAAAAGATTGCTTTAAAGGTGCTGCCTTTTCAAGCACATACTGTCTGTACACATATTGTTGAGTTTCAAAGAACATATCACAAGTGGCATGGCAGAGAAATAGATGCTGTCTTAGCATATTTGATTGTATGTTGTCTATGGAAGTCATATTTTAAATGTGTGCTCACGGATAATGTCTCATGTGCTTAAAAATCGTATTCTCTTTGCTGCTCTTAATAATGGGAAGGAAAAGAGAACACATTAATTTTGGCGGTTTTTGTAGCCAGGAAAGGGCTACAAAACCTAAATGATACAAGTTTAAGTTAAAAAATTAATATTTTAAATTGAAATACATTCCTTTCTAAGTTGGGAGATGGATAATTAAAATATATATGTATAAAATAGAACATGACAAACGAGGCTGGATGAGAAGCCACATTGGTTTGGTCCTCACAAAGAGTAAAGGATAGTAAGTGCTAATATATATCTCTATGACTGCGATAATGCAACCACAATAAATAATTTAATTTAAGTTGCCCCCCCCCCCCCCCCCCCCCCCAATTTTTAAAAGGGATGCCAATAAATGTGGAGGGCTGTAAATTCTTGAAATGTAACATGTTTCAGAAGTAACACAGCTTGAAACAAATTGCATTTTATGCCCATAGAGATAAATCTTAATGATCCTGCAGTTTATACTACAGCTTCAGGTCTACACCACTGTTTACATTATCTCGAGGCAGAACATGCAGTATCTCTTTACCATCTTAATCATTATGTCCTGTTAAGAGAAATATGAGAACACAGAGGCTGGATCTAGGTAAACCACAGAGATCTCTGTTGTACACTGCAAAATGTGAGTGTGTGTGTATTATCTTTTTTTTTTTTTTTTTTTTTTTTACACACAAACACATTGGAAGCACTAGATCAAGTCTTTGGGAGACCGAAAGATGATACTGCAGAACATCCTGCGTTTTTATTTTTTTTTTTTAGACTTCTGAACACTTTAAGAGATCAATGATGAAGGGAGGAGAGACAGAGAAAGATGGTGAAGAGAGACGAAAAAAGGCAGAATGCAGGTGAAAGAATTAGATAAGCACACCTGGTGAGTTAAACACTGGAGCTGTGGGGGTGTTACACACGACTGTCTCAGCCAGTAAGGTGTTATAAGGGTTGTTAGTGCCTTGTGGTCGCAGGAGAGGGTTTGTTAGTAGATAATTCCCAGTCATTCCTGGAGTGGCAAAACAGAGTAGGAGCAGGTAAGTTTGGCAGTTGCCTGAAAGTTTAATGGAGAACAGAAAAAGCAAAGAATCTGGCTTTGTCTTTTAGGTAACATAAGCCTAATCCTTTAACTACATGGTCTAACTATTTTACAGATGAATAAAAAAGCACAACATTTCTGCTTTTTCTGCTGGTGCAAACCCACCAACCCTGTTAAGTGCAAAGCATGTCCTTCCTAACTCAATATTTAAAAACCCGTGTTCAAACAACTTTGTTCATTAAAACATTCTGGCATGTTTTTCATGACTTATTTTTTATGTTGTGCAAGCATAATCTTTCAAAAACAGCACCTTGGTTTCTTGAAAGTATGCAAAAGTTTTACTTTTTATAGAATACTTTATGAGAGACGGGACAATAAGGCCTGTTTCTTATAACAAAAATTACTTGAGGCTAAATTGTGCAATTATCTCACAAGGCCTAATCTTCCTAATTTTTCTCTCAAGCTTGTAGTGTGTTTAAAGGTATTTCCACTGCCATTTATCACCTATGTTAAATGCCATCTGTCATGTTGAGATGTCTCAAGGGATGTTTTTAATGACATGGAAGTGCTTCTAGGAGATAAAATCCTCCTTCAGTGCACTAATTCTCCAGGGTTACCCAATGCCCCGAAGTGATCAATATCCAACCTTTGCATTAACATCTCCAGGAAACGGTCGTTCAGAGGAGCAGAAAAAATAGCCATACCTCTACATTGTTACTAATGTAGCAAGTCCACATGTCCCTAAAAAGGTTCAAAATGACATTTTGTCTTTAAGGGAGTTACATCAAAAAGATAAAAGGAAAAGGCAAAGAACAGCTTTGACAGAAGTCAGAGGAGGGAAAGTTAAACTACCTCAGTGTAAAACCTATTTTCCCTTGCATGCTTGGAAAGCCATTTCAGAGGCAGCAGAAGCCTAACATCACACTAAGCACTCTGGGTCAGGCAGAGTTGAACAACATCTTCTCATCATCATATTTGTGCTCAAGCTAAATAATAAATGACAGGTTTTTTTTCCTCCCTTCCCCATAAATCTTTTTATAAAGTAACAAGGGTCACCTTCTATGCTGGGCAACAAATGGCCTTTTGCTTCATGTTCAGATCCTGTGAAAATAAACTTTTTACAACCATTTTAGTTTTTGCCTATTTGTCCCCAGGGAATGAACTATAACTACAAGCACTTGCATCAAGAAAACATCCAAGTCTAAATTTGCAAATGAGGCTAGAGGTATGAGTGAAGCTGCAGTATTTGAGGACACATTTTTGGTACCCATGAGCTAAAAGAAGAAGAAAACTTTTAGGCCTTCCCTTTTTATGACCCCATTTCAGGACCGAGTCATTTACTACCTAAACCTTGTAGAATGTTGTTATCCCTGGAACTTGAAGTTGATAATATTAGCTGATTGATACAATTTGTGCATAGATGTGAAAAGAGATGAGGTGTGAACTGACCTTGGTTAAGGGTGGAGGTGCTGTTGATGTCACCTGAGATAAAGGAGGACTCAGATTGCTTTCTTACGGTGTCATTCCACATTCTCCTGATTCGACTCTGTCAGATAAACAAGAGATAGTAATTAGGACATAAAACCTCACCTTTCAGAACCACTTTTTTATGGTATATTTATATCATTACAGTCTGCATCACTTGCGTAGGCAAAATGAGGTGAGGGCATTATCAATGTCACATTTTAAATATTTGTTTAGAGATGCACAGAATTTTGTCCTTTTCAGTTTGAGAAATTTTGCAAATCCTTGACCTGCTGATAATTACAATATCTAATTTCAGTTTCTCATTAGACTTAGACAGATGTTATTTATTTGTCATTTTGTTTACACGCATGTAAAACAAAAAGAAATGTCATTTGGAACAGCTCTCTGGACAATTTCATCTTTCTAAAAATGCAGCCTTGAAAAATAGTAAAACAATAATAAAATATATATATATATATATATATATATATATATATATATATATATATATATATATATATATATATATATATATATATATATATATATATATATAAAAATTGATAAAAGTAATATAAAAATATGACTCTAAATTTACAGCTCCAACATTTTTTTATTATTATTAAGAACAACAACATAAAATTATTTTCTGTTCGTCTGTTTCTAAGGACCTTAGATTTTGTCAAAGCAACGTTTTACTATTATAGTTAAGTTGCCTTGATTGCAGGTGCACTGAAGAGATTTTAAACTCTGACCCTTCCAAAACACAACTTGTATATGCATACTGTATGTGTCATTATCTAACACAAAGATGGGGCTTAAATGCTGAATAAAATAGAGTTACATCACTGTTGGCTAATTATTCCTCATTTTATCCATTCTTGCCCCCATCACTTATTTGTAACATGAATGAACCAAAGGCACAACTAAACTAAATCAATTAATTTGTCAAGGCCTCTAAATATATTAAAATCAAAGCCTAGTATTTATGGAGACAAATTCTTTACAAAGAATACAGTATGAAACTCTCGTTATTTAGAAGCATTGACGTCAAATGACATAGTACTGAATTTGTATAAGATAGAATATAATAATAATAATACAATACATGTAAAAAAACTTGTGCTCAGTAACAATTAAAAATGACTAAAATGGAAAGGGCCTTAAGGAGGTTTTTCTAAAATCAACACTTGGAGCTTCTCTGACAAGGGTGGGCCGGTCCCCTGGAAGAGAGCTCCCATCAAAATAACTATTATCCATAATTTGAGGCTGAGCCAGAGCATATAAAATTGTAGTAGGTGTAGTAGAACTAGCGGGAGTAAGATGGCGCAAAAGCAAGGTGGTATTAAACCCCTTAAAACTTAAAAAACATGGAATATGTAATAAGCAATCAATTAACAATATAGAATAAATATCAGAGCCTTCTCTGACTTGGTTGTTATTACCTCATTGCAAAATCGTTGACTTTAAGTTAAGTAAAACAACCAAGGCCAAAAGTTAAGACCAGGTAACACATTTTTATTTCACAGACTGTACAGTAAAAAGATCAATGGGATTTTTGAGTTCTTGAGCAGTCAGTCACGGCTTATTGCAGATCAAGCTAATAATCTGTCAATTCTTGTTACTAAATTATTGTTACTTATTAAGAGCATCTAAATCTAAGCCCTTACTAACATTTTAAAACACTTCACCCATTGTTTCCCCCATCCAAATAGTAAAGCAACACAATCCCTTCCGTTTGTAGCTTTGTGATATCAATGAGGTCCTAAATTTCTAATTCGTTTATCAGTTTCTGACTTCCTATTTGATTCAGTCTTAAATAGTGACAGGGTCTTTATAGTGGGGAATTTTAACATTTATGCCATCATTGAAGGTTATAGCTTAAATGCAATCTTTAATGCTATCTTACACACAATTGGTTTGTTCAAAATGTTCAGTCCCACGAATTCTCATTTTCACACTTTGGACCTTGTGCTGGCATATGACATTAATTGTGAATAAATAACAGGAGTTCCTTTCAGTCCTGTCCTATCTGACCATTTAGATGGATTTTTTACCAATCTGACTGCACAGTATGTTCTGATTGAATTGTCTCCGTAAAGCACCTGTAGATGAAACGTGTTGTGAACTGGCACTATATAATAAACATAATTTTTGAAAACCTTTAATTGCAGCTCGTCCTTCAGACGTTTGGCTGGAAATTGAGCGTGACATCACTGTGTTTCTGTAACACTTCATCTAGGTGTATTATACACTGAAAGCTACTAGCTATTTAAAGGGAATTAGTGCAAAACCACACATTTTTTGCAGCGTCAGTCTTCCCTGCAGTAAAATATACCTGTACTGTGTTTATAAAAAGTGCTGTAATGTTTCCCATTCACATTAAGTCGGAAAGAAATGAAGATAACAGCTAAAAAAAAAGTGCTACAGGGATTTAACATGAGAATTATCATGCAGCATAAATCCAGACTGGTAAATATTGAATAATGTAAGGATTATTGATGCAACTCTGAAGCTCAACTAACGAAATTAGTTTCCTCATAGAATGCAGTTAAAAATGAAAACAATTAATTCTTTTTCCCTCCACAACTGCACAAAATGGATTCAACTTATTTTTTTTCACAAACAGTAATAGAAACATATAAAAACTGACTTTTACTTTGCTCTCAATAGCTTTCTTAAAGTATATATGACAATATTTTTGTGTATCATCCTGCAGTACATGGATTAGCTCACTTTTGCTCAGAAAGCATTAGCTTATCAAATGATCAATTAAAGGAATTAATTTTGTGCACAATAGAAAGGGTTTTCTCTGCTTTTTGAACACCCACCTTGTCCTATTTATGTTAATAAATGAGATAACACCATAACAGTTGTTTTTTCACCTACTTGTCTACAGTGTTTCTGTTAATAAGGTAAGGAAATGTAAAGTATCTCTGCCATAAAGTGCAAATTGTGTACAAACAAAAATGTTATAATACCAGGAAGGTGTCTTTAAATAAAAAGCACATCTATGTGGCTACTAGACCATGAAGGCTTGGTTGTTCAAGACAACAACTAATGCTTGCATCTCTATATAACATAGCTCTATCATCTCCAGGAATAAATTTTGAGCCTGATTTATCATTATTTAACATTCTAACTTGGTAGTTCCCCATCTCATCGTAAACCAGTTTTCTCAAAGAAACTTCACACAATATTTTACCCCTTACATATTGTTCTCTTGACATACAGTATATTATACATTGCGTTACTTTATACAAAAAAAAGGTCTGGACTTGTGCTTACAGTATAATAGAAACATTTTGAAGCAAATAATTTTTATCTTCAATTTTGGTCATCTTTCTTTCATATATCATATCATATTTTTTTTTCAAACATATATTTATTTATGATATTTATATAAGACTTGTAGTACATATGATCCCAACTGTCTTGCTTTAGTAAAAAAAATTTTCTGTTATGTTAATGTTGCTGTCAGGTAATCCACAACACTACCACTAAGGGAAAGTTTGCTGCAAAAAAGCTGTTGCATGGAGCTAAAGGGAAATAAAGGAAGTGCTTGAACAACAGCAAAAAAAAAGCAACAAAAGCTGATCCCTAAAGACCCTCTCCCCATGCCTTAAAAGGGAGATGGAATTAATGAAAAAATAACTAAAAGACTGTTCATTTATTCCAGAGAAATTGATAACTGGTTGATGACCCCTCTGCTTTAGAACACGGTCAACATAGTCTAATCCTTTACAATAAACTTAACCTTTAACCTAATGCCAACCAAAGAGTTTGGGATACTAAAATCTTTCTTCTGCCTAATTCACCCATAATACTATGTGCATCAGAATTCAGCATAATTACTGAAATTTTAATCTTATATATATATATATATATATATATATATATATATATATATATATATATATATATATATATATATATATATATATATATATATATATATATATATATATATATATATATATATATAAGATTAAAATTTCAGTAATTATGCTGAATTCTGATGCACATAGTATTATGGGTGAATTAGGCAGAAGAAAGATTTTAGTATCCCAAACTCTTTGGTTGGCATTAGGTTAAAGGTTAAGTTTAAACAGTTAAACTCAGGCTTTTTATCCCCTTGCCCTTATTTCAAATAAGTAAACAAAACAATGATACGGAATAACTGATATAAAAGGCTTATGATACATTTTTTAGCAACATTGCACAGTACTCAATAGTCTTTTTGAATATATAACATCCAATGTTAAAACCATCTAAACACATAATCACTTTTAACATAATAGGGCTTTTGGTGATGAAATACATTGAATCCAATTTCGATATTACTCTAAACTATAATATGCAAAAAAAAAAAAAAAAAAAAACAGCACAGAGAACATTATGTGCATGATTGGAGCCTTACTGTGTAAAGCTGCTGGTCTACCTGTGTACCAGAAGAGTAGCGTGCACTAGTCCGTGTTGTGGAAGTCTTTGTGGAACCGTGCGAGCTCTCAGTGGGCAGCCCTCTGCAGCAGTATGTGTGGCGGAAGCACTTGCTGTACTCTTTGCGGACCTGCATAAGCAAAGAGAAGGTGTTTACACAGACTGTTGACTTTCAATATGACTTAGCCTGAGATATCAAGGTGAGCAGTGTTTGGTCTTTATATCAGCATGTGGTGCAATTTCAAAAATGCTGGAAAGCTAAAACTCAGATGTCTTTCACCTTGAAGGACACAGCTCTGACTTTAGAGCATAATGTGAAAAATGCACTCACTTTTTTCTGAAGAAGGCAGTGGAAAATGAAGATGAACATTCCTTGGAAAGTGTTGAATATCGTGAATAGGTATGCCATAACAATGGAGGCCTCACTGATGAAGAAGAGGCCAAAGGACCAAGTGAGACCCAGCAGGCACAGCAGGGCAAAAGCTCCCATGACCCAAGACCTGCAAAACAAAGACAGAAGCAAAAGCAGAGCAGAGAATGAACATAATGGATGTTTACTGAATCATTTATAACAGACAGTTTTTATTTACTCATTTTGATCTTGGAGGAAAGGCTGTAAACCAAGAGACAGTAAAAAACAAAATAGCAAAAACAAGTACGCATACCAATCTGATTTCTCACACAAAATCCCATCCTTTTAAAACCTCTGCTTAAACTCATCAGTAGTTCCTGCTTCTGACATACATGATGGAAAGAAAACCTTGATCTGTATTTCTGTAAATAACATTTTCTAAGCATTAGAACCTATCAAACTGCATATTTAGGGACCAGAGCAAATCACATTTGTAAATAAATTCAACAGAAGCAAGGGCTAAAAGAACACTAAATATGATTCGGCCTTGTGAATTTCTTAAAACTGGAGGAATGAGGCAGATGTGGGATCAAGGGATTTTTACGTTTTATTTTTATGTGCAAAGGTCAAATGAAATCTACAGACAGCAGCAGCTGTCACAGTTCAGTGGTCAAACACGACAACCACAACACCGGACTGATGAAAACAATAAAAGTGACCAGTCATATTGACGGATGGATGAGAGGTTTAATGCTGCAGTTTGGGAGAGAATGAGCTGGAAATACAAAATTAAAAGAAGGAGAAAGAGAGAGAGAGGTGGAAAGAATAAACAAGAAGAATTGATTGGAGAGCCAAGAGAAGAGTTCTAGGCAACATAGTCTTACTTGATAAAGTGTTTATTATCTTCATAGCTAGAGAGCATGATAGCGGGAAGAGAGAAACACAATTAGATCAGAGCACAGAACAGCGCGGGTTAGTTGGCACTTGAGTGTGATATTTTCAACTTTTTGATCCAAGGGAAATCACGAGAGGCAATCAAATTTAGGTCTAACAAGAGCCAAGATTTGCATGTTTTGATTAAATTACAAAATATTCCATCATAAAGAAAGGAAACTGGTCAGAACACATCGTCTGCCGTTTGAATTGAAATCTATCTTGCTGATGGGTAGGTGGTGGGTGTGTGGATAACATTATTTGAGGTACGAGGTAAAGCTTACCCAGGCAAATCTGTATTATAGTAGCCGTCACAAACGCGATAATTACTGGTGTGGGTCGCAGAGTGAAGACAGAAGTGGAAGATGAGAGGAGAAAAGAAAGCAGAGGGCCTGCGTTAACTTTGGGTGGCATGCTACATGCAATAGGCACTGGGTCAAGGTGCTCAGAGAGCAAACTCTGACACACAGAAAATTACAAGCAAAAAACAGTAATACGTATAAACAGCATAAAAAAAGAGCTTTAATGAAACATTTTAAGCATTCAGGAAGAACATTCACACCAATCTCGAAATAACCAGTGAGTACAAAATGTGATGTTGTGTTGTTTGCTGTATACCAGTCATCTATCAGAAATAAACCAAGATTTGTATAAAGGTCCTTTATGACTGTTCTCCCTGATTGCGGTTTTACCACAGAGCTGTAATTCTGGGGGGAAAAAACAAGCTAAAAAATAAAAGAAGGAAAAAACAAACACTGACTATAAATAGCTGAAAATCTTCCACCAAAAGTGGTTGCAGCTTTGAACACTTATTGTAAGAGTATGACTGTGTAAACTGGTATTTTACCTCAACCAAAAAGAACTAACGACTTAAAATAAAAACTATCCTTGGTCATGCAGCATAAATGGTATTTTTTTTTTAAATTGGCATTTACAAAAGCAGGTGAAAGGAAAAATGCTTTTCCTTTCGAGAGCAAAGCATTGAGGTGAAATGTCTGAAACATGTCTGAATCATGAATGGGTAAAGTAGGTAAGGGTGGTGGTTTTGCAATGATTTATTTTTCTCTCTTCAGGTGTTAAGCTGTGATCTTTTAGAGAAGAACAAAAAGCCGGCATGTTCCAGCATTTTCACTGTACCAAACTCTTTCAGGAGCTAGTTACTCCTAAAAACTATATACCTCACGTTGAGCAATTCTGTGGCCAGTGATTTTGTTTTGAGAAGTCCAACAAAACAGCATAAGAAGAGCTCAGACCTTATGTACAGACAATACAAAATAATTTGTTTTTTCAGGGGCAGTTAAATGTACATTCTGGTCAAATAGATAGCTCAATGTGTTTTAACCCAGGTTCTGCTGAAAGCATCTTATATCTTACCTGCAGTAGAAAGCACTGTTTTTATTTAATGTAAATCCTATTAAGTTCAGATTGGTCCCTGAGATTAAAGCAAAGACTCGGTCTCTGAGGACTAAAGCAAACTTCTACCATTAAAAATAAATCACTTTATAAAAATAGGCTCAGTGATTCATCTGTAAGCTGCTTTAGCTCTCTTTACACCATTATCATTTTTTCATTGAGCAGTTATTTACACACACAGCTGATAAGGCTTCACCAATTAGTTTCCTGTTTAGAAAAACATCCTGAGAACAGCAATGTAGAGTTGCTCCTCAAAGTGTCTAAAAGATGTAAAATCAGATTTGAAAGAGGTGTAGTTCTCACAAGATTTACCGATCGTATATGGCCACAGCATTTACCACCAAAATAAAAGTTAGCTGTGTGAATTGTAATTTAGTTGCTGTCTGGAGGCTGGTGAAATAAATCAAAGATGTGATGAGCTATGGATATCAAGGTAGGTTCTTTCAGCTTATATTGTTTTATCCATGGTCCAGTTATCTAAAAATGTAATCCTATGGGGATGGAGTTCTGTCAAATTTAGGTGTGGATTTTTCGCCCTGACCCTGACCTCCAAGGACTAGAGTTTTAGACAACAAATCCCACTTCTCAACTCAATTTGACCCAGTGAGACCCAAGACCATGACTGAAAGAAAAGGCTTTGGCCTACAGCTCTGCAAAATTGAGCAACAGGCCTTGATAGGTGTAAAGGAGGCCCCCTCTGTTTGATTGAACGGTCTGTTGTGATCCTCTTGTTGGCTAGTCAAATGCATTCAGTAATTCAAAATGCAAAACAGTTTTTGTGCACCATTCCTAAAATGTTATCACCTGTATCAGGTTCTGCTTATCAGTCTATTTACCAGATGAGTTTGTTCTAGAGAACCAACAGGGCGTAGCAGCAATTAGAATAGAATAGAGGAGAAATCCATTTATTGTCCCACCAAGGGGAAATTGTGGTGTTACAGCAGCTTAGAAAAGTGTATAAAAAAAAATATAAAAAAATAAGAAAATGAAACAAATAAAGTATTGTAGTGAACAGTGTTTTTACAATACAAATAATCAGTATCTTGATAATAAAAAATCAATAACAGCTTTGGACATTTTTACAGTAATGGATATATTATATATTCTTCTTCTTCTTTGACTATTTGAGCTGATGTAACGAGTAAATTGCTCCACTGCGAGATCAATAAAGTTTTTTATTAAATGATAAAGTCACAATATTTTCATGACACCATTTAACCTTAACAGCTCATAATCATTATGGGGTTGCCAATACCTTCTAAGGTGGACCAGACCTTTAAAATCGGGCAACAAATTATGGTAATTATGAGTTCTGCTAAAAAAGTCTCATTTTCAAGAACCAAATAGCTCATCTTATGAGCTTGAATTTTGTTGTACCACTCAATGTTAAAAAGCTATGCTTTTTAACATAACCTAAACCTAAAGAACAAGAAAAGCTTCCATGGAACCATGTTTAAATCACTTATACACAAAAGAAACATCTTGTTCTGTATTATATGATGTTTCACTTACTTTATGTTCTCCAGTCGACTCGAATCTGGTTTCAGGGTGGTAGAGTGCTTCACCATTTTATACATCGTGATTACCAGGAAGATGAGATTGAGCTGTCAAAACAGAATAATGGCAGTGTTAATTTATGAAGATTTATGCCTCAAGATAAGGCAGACAGAGGAGAAAAAACTGTTAATTTGTCTACGAGTATTAAAAGCAGAGCCTTCGACTCTGCAATGTCCACAGACTAATCCAATAAAAATCTATCACTCTGCTAGTCTCAGACTGGCCGACTGGCGCCAAATTTAGTGTCATTCTATATCAATGAGTGTATGAAAATACATTAAAATCCATCTCTGAAGAAGAAAAAAACAGCAATAGCCACAGAGCCGTAGTCTTCCAATGTCAAAGGAGAATGAGAAGCAGCAGCAGAAATAAGAGAAGCGCTTGTTGTACAAAACAACCACATATCATTTCATGCACATAGTGAAATAGTATAAGGTATAAAGGCTTGGGGGAACATGGTATATTTTGTTCAATTCTCTCATGTGTCCAGATGAAAAGAGAAAAAGAACTCTGAAAAGGGTAGGGAGAAAGGGAGCTTGTGTGTTTTAACGCATTACATCTTGGGGGAGGGGGTGCACATATCAGACTCAGACAAGGATACTATGAGCCACGTTTCTGAGCACATTTATTTGGTACCTTAAAAAAATCAATAGTGTGATTTAGAGACACAAAGGATAGATAGTCCAGCAAGGGGCTCCTCCAAATAATTTACTTCAAAATCATTTATTCTGGGGCAAACAAGTCCTCCACACAGCATGTACAAGCACTCACAGCACATGTACCAAACTGTGTTCGCACTGCAAGCCAGCCATGTATAAATAATGTCAAGAAATGTCTGAGGAAGAAACAAAAAAACAAACAAGAGGTGTGCCTGAGAGCGTGTCAATAGTTCAAACAAATACCACTATTAAAATGAAAGCAAAACACACAAAATAAATGCATTTGCAGTGACAAAAGCTTTTATCCAGGGGAGCCTTGCAAATGGTGTGTTTCAACATCAACGTGTTATTTTTAGAATGCCAGAAAGAAAAATGGGGATGAATTGTGAATGCGAGGGACCTTTGTGAGCTGGACTCAGACTACAGTCATTCACTCTTGAGCAGAAATTTCTGAGTGTTCTGGTGCACACTGTTATCAAAAGGCTGCCTGTGATCAATACATCACCCCCTCCACATGCAATCAACTCCCCGAGTCGCACACAATAAGCCAGACTGAAAGAAAGGGATGGCATGAAAAGGAAGAAAAAGAATTGAAAAGAAAAAAAGAGGTAGACCGGGAAACTTTTATATCATAGACAGGTCTGAAGCTATATTTTTGTTTCGCAGCTTTAAGCCATTATTTCTGCCAGCCGTCTGCATGAGTAAGACAGCGGGGGAGGGGAGGAACAGGTGGGGGAGGACTTTTGAAAAACCCTTTCACACATGGAGTGGTGACATGGATCCAATGAGACAGAGGAGAGGGACACAGTACTTTAAAGTAACCCAGCAGCATGGCACATGTTCCCACCCCCACCGACATGCATTCGCAGCCCTTCCCGGGGGGATCCCTCTTGCTAGAGTGAAGCCGCCTTGCCTCCATCCTTCACTCCCTCTCTGAATCATCACTGCAAGCCATGCAGAAGCACCTCGCCTCACCAAGAGTGGAGAGAGAGCTTTTATTTTTTTCCTGAATTGGACTGTGTGTGTACACCCTGAACTCCAAATGAACTGCGAGGGATAAAATATTAAAGGTGCAGATGGAGCTGTCCAGATGACAAGAACTGCTCACGACGTGTCATGATCCAAAAGGCCTTGCGATGAAGTTATCTCAAGCATGCAAATGGTTCCCCCCAGCACTCATTACTTCCATGTACCCCCTTTCATGGAGCTAATACCGTCTGTGCCAAGAGAGTGGTGACCTCTGCTTAAGAACACTGATCTAAATGTCGCTCCAAGCTCTTGTTTTTAGACACTTTTTTGGATAAAAGGAAAGAAACAAAAGATCCAAACTGGTGACTGGAATTGCCAGATTTAAAACTGATCAGCTGTCACCAAAAACAAACTGGTCTGAGAATCATAAATCCAACTTTTCTTGATCAGTGAAACTACCATACAATACCAATCAGTCCAAGGACAGACTACCATAAACACACTTCAGTGTAGAGGTTGTTACTGTGTGAAGTTACAGGCAGCTCACATTATTTTAAGTTAACAGATCTGAGCAGGTGGTCAACAACAACTGCTATTGTATTCTCCATGCCTTACATGGCCATGCATCCCAGTTGTGAAAGAGAGCAAGTATTGTAACAGATAACAAGAAGGCAACATTGCTCTGTTTTATCATTTTTAACTTTCAACTGTTTGTTTTTAAAGATGCTGAGCTTGGGGTTAATGAAAGGGTCGACGTTTTTTGATGATACACACAGCCTGTGCTTCTTTTTAAATATTCCAGCACGCTCACTGTGCTAATCACAAACATGACATTCTAAAGGCAGCTTGAAATATCAACTAATTTTGTTTTTGGTTTTAATATATCTGCAAAACCGTTTTTTTCCTTCTTCTGAAATACCTTTTCCTAAAAAAAAAAAAATGCTGGCTGCTCACAACATGAAAGCTAGACAAATATTCTAAATTATTTTTATATCTTGTCAAAGCTTTACAATAAAAACAGCTTTAGAAAATATCTAATTATTTGATCATACATGGCATTTAGTGCATAATTGACTTCTCATTCGCAGAATCTGCACTATTTCTCCTTTCCTCTTGCCTCTCTCTCATTGACAAGGACAAAGCCAATTTGTAGAGAAACCAGGGTCATGGATGATGCAGACAAACCTTGCTCCCGCATGCTCCCCTGAGATGCCCCTTTCCACAGTGCTTTGTCTTTCTGGGACAATTGTTGCATAGAGCAGCACGCTAAGCCTGAACCAAAGCAACACAACCTCATCCCCTGTCACAAGCAGGCTTTGCAGCAATACATTAGCTTCTCACAGGGTCATGATTCCATCTCTACGGCCATCACCACTGGGATCCCGATCATCATTTCCACTGCAGACATATTTTTCAATGAGGGCCCAATTTAGAGAGACGAAACATATTCCTGTGTGGCTGACATAGTATTTGCTGAGACAGGAAGAATTGTGTTTGCTTTAATGCACAGCTCCTTCAATTATAAGCTCATATGTTTAAAGCAGGTGCACAGAGTGAGAAAAGAAGTATTTGATAATAAGGAAAGGCATTTCAACATAAGCTAAAAGACATTTTAGTCCAAAACGGACTTTTATTTGGTCATAAGTCAGCTGCCTCTTCCCATTTTGACAAGCCATATTCCTTTTTAAGAAAAGGTAAAATGCAGACCAGTTAGAATATTTGTGTTTTATTCATAGTGACAACATGCACAAAGGGCTCTACTGTAGCTCTGAATTTAAGGCTACTAACAGTGAGCGGATGGTGCACAGGCACTCACTGAAATTTGACACAGCTGCCCCCATCTCTCTGGTATATTTTCAGTGTCAGCTCTATGTTCGGCACAGGTCACGGCATCTGTAGCTGCTGTACCAACCATTGGGATACAGTATATGATGAAGACAGCACTGAACAAATACCAAGCCTGCATGAACACGAGTCGAGATTGCAGAAATCCCTTGTCCCTCGGTTCGCGCAAGGGCAAAGCAATGCTTAGAGCATTGAGGCTGCAAGCATGTATGTGAGAGATCCTACATGGCATCATTTCCTTTTTTTTTTCTTGTGCATGGAAGTCAGACTCCCTGAGGTCTCATTTTTCTGAGTCGCTCTGATAGAGCAGGAGATAATAATGTCATGACCAGTAAATAATTACACGCCTTTTATGGGACATATGTCAATAAGAAATGCTGTATGTCCTTCACCCTTGACCGTCCTTTGCTTTTTTTTCTTCCTTCAATGAAACTGCCAAACACCTCAGAACTTTTGCCTCTATTTATACAGATGGAAAAAAAAACGAATAGAAGATTTCCAAATTTTTAAACATTAATTTTTACAAAATAACTAAATCGGTTTTAGGTATTGGCTTTTACTGGACTATTTTTCGTATAAAAATATACTTTTAAACTCAATTATTTAACCATTACTGTAATTGTATGTTTAAGGTAATTGTCCTAATGGAAGTTTATCTAAATCTTTTGTTTCCTCTTTTCTTTAAATGGTTCAGTCCGTTCTTTTTTTACTCTGACCTGCTTCCAAGTCCCAACTGAAGAAAAACATCCCAACAGCATAATGATTCCACCACCTTATTGCAGCACCTAGTTAGTGTGTGTAACTGTACATTCCTGTGTTTTGCATGTAGGCCAGAATGTGTAATTTGGTCTCCTCTTACCAGGGGATATTCTTCCAGATGTCTGTGTATACTTTATGATATAGTTTATCTTTTTAACAGCATCCTTCCAACAATCACTTTTTTTTTTGCTTCTCTTTTATAAATACCACACATTTTCAGTGTATGACCACCATTTATTGTGTCAACAGATTCTACCATGTACACTAAAGATCTCTGAAGCTTTGTCAAAGTTAACAGAGTTGTAGGGATTGCTCCTCTACATAACGCTTTCCTTACTCTGCCAGAGGTTTTAGGTGGTGACCACATTTCCATCTTAGGGTAATTTACTGAAAAATGCTATTGGTGGACTATATCTTGTGGTAAAAATTTATGTTGGATTGCGTTCTACAGTTATTAGAATAAAGACGGCAACATATAGGCATGCCACACTTTTCAGTTATCAGAAAGACGTTTGATAAACATGCATTATGATAAATTTATTAAAATATCAAGAGTGTACATTCTTACAATTGCTAAAGGTATAGAGGAGGATTTTGGCAAAAGACCCGCCCTCTCCACTTAAAAAAAAAAAAATGCACATCCACAACCCTGTACCCGCCACTGAGAATGAACGCCACTAAACACATGTATGCACAAGCCCATTTCTCCTTGAGTAGCTCTGTTTAAAAACTGCTGTTTGCATCGCTCATACAAGCTTACTTTCATAAAAAAGAATTGCAATTTTTCCACTATGTTAGACTTAACACCTGTAAGTAAAAATGGGGACGAGCACTTAGGAGGACCTGACATAAACATATATATCACTAGAATTACTGACAATTAGGAGGACCACATATATTTTCCACCCAGAAAAAGAACATCCTCTGAAAACTGAAAAGCCCTTAAACAATTCAGCTCAAAAACACATATGGTAAAATATGGTTAAAGTACCCCATGAAGTCCTGATTTGTGTAGGGCAAAAAGAGGCTTTGGGGGGTTTTGGATGCTTAGAAAAACATATTGTTGGTGCAGCATTAACCTGTCATCTCTCAGGAACAAGATGAAGAAAAACAAATCCTGCTGACTTGTCATCACAGCTTGACAGTACCACTTCCGTTATCTCCTTCTTGCATCTCTTTCATCTCAGCTCTCTGTGTATCTTTTCAAAGAAAAAGAAAACAGCTTACCATGATGATAAAGGTGACCGGTCCTATAAAACTCCATATGAAATGATTGTCCACACTTAGCCAGCACCTATGACAAAGAAGCATACATTTCAAAATCCAGCACATATAAAATTCCTTGGCATAAAATACATTAGCAGTTGTTATTATTTGTCATGTACACTACTGTTTTCTAGTAACTTAAAAGTGTTTTTTATGCTTTTAACATGATTACATTTATGCAAAACAAAGAAAAGACCCCAAGTAGTCTTTAACAGCAGCTGAGACTTAGCTGTGATATGGTCATTAATTTACGTAAAAGGCTTCTTCTGCACAGTGCTCTTCTCTTTAAGAGAGCATTTACAAACAAGAGGTCACAGGAGGGTCTTTGAACAGAGAGGCATTAATGTAGCTGCAGCCTCTGGTGAAACCACAGTGTTAGGTCTGTCAGCCACTTTCAAATGACATGAAAAATTGAACAGCTGCCCATCCCTGGCAAAAAGAAGCTTGGATGTTTCGGTGCAGACTCCAGAGACGATGCACAAGGTGCTGGCAAGAGATGATGAGTTCATTTTTTTTCCCAAAATCTGCCGCAAACAGACACAGCAGGTAGAGTCTGCACAGCAGAACATCTAGCATGGCAGCAATGCTTTTTCACAGAATGTGTGTCAGACAGCTGCACTTACGCTTTGTGGGTCCCGTAACTACCGTAGTCAATGGCTGCCGAAACGCCGACCACGATTGCAGGGAAGAGGTACCCCGACACATAGTAGTACTTTTTTCGTGAGTATTCACTCTCAAAGACTTCGACGAGCATGAGGTATAGCTGCACTCCCTCTAGACACATCCAGGAGAAGGAAGCGAGGAAGAAGAAATGGAGGATTCCAGCGATGATGGCACATCCAATCTAAGAGGGTTTAATTACAGGTTCAGATTATCAAGAACAGGCAATGCACGGGTGTTTTCCCATTTCACGATGTCTTCTGATTTTGTGTTCGTTTCACATTTGAATATTTTAGATCCTCAAAACAATATTACCAAACTATATACAAAAGCAGTAGCTAAAGAAATATGCCTTTACTTTGCATGGAAGAAAAGGCAATGAAAGTAACGTGGCCCTATGTAAAAAAAGGACTTTTTGATTGAATATTAATAATCCTATAAACCAGTCTTTCCCCCATGGCACCGATAAATGCCGTCAATCGCTGGGTTAACTAGCCATAAGTCTTTTAGATCTCTGTGGAGGAGTTTTGACTCAATCCTTAAGGCAAAATTAAGTTAAATTTAGTTATATTGATTCAACATAATGTTAGTAATATTAACGTTATTCTAAGTCATTTAAAAGTAAACTTACTGGTGTGCTTTAGATTATTGTGCTGGTCTTTAACTCAAGTTAGTGTGAGACCACAAATTGATGTTAGTGTATTCCCCTTTAGGACATTTTAAAAGGTTGAGAGTAGAATTTATGTTTCCATCAATTAAAGTAACATTTAGGATGTGAGGAACCCTTAAGCAATGCAGCCCAAAGCATTTCACTAATACCATCATGTCTGAGGTGAAATATGTTATACTTTTATTTTACTCCAGACATACTTCAAAAACATACCTTTTAAATGGATTTTTTATCCGGAGAATACGGTTGAAAAGTGTGTTGTAAAACCAAAATTAATACCGCTCTTTATGTTTTTTTTTTGGTCAGCAGTAACAACTCTCTCATTAAAATTTTGAATTTTTCCCTCCTGGATGGCATCTTGATGCATTTTCAGAGTCATTTGGTAACCACTCCTGGGAGTATTACCATGATTCCAGGTTTACCTTATGTGTTTACCTGGAGACCTAAAGCCTTAGAAATTACTTTGAAACTCTTTCCCACCTTATGTAGATTTAGTTTTTTTTTTTTTTTTATTCTTCTCTGAACTTGAATTCCTTTACAAATTTGGGAAATGCTGTGTTGCATCTAGGGAACTATTAGCTTATTTCAAGCTCTCAGACAGGTTCCACTTAAGGGATTTCTTCATTTATAGGTCTTGCAGTAATAAGACCTTGAGGTAACGATTGAAAATAAGCAGAAATGTAAGGTTAATACCACCTAATGACATTGTTTTTTTTTTTGTTTTTTTTCACACAAAGATAGGCTGCTTTGGATAGCTTTCTTACTTAAACCAAGTTATCATATAAAACTGCTTTGTATGAAATAGTTTGAGGATGATCTGAAAGAAAGGCAAGATAAAAAAGCTAAACCGAAGAGATTTGTGAGGCGACCTATAATTTTTCATAGCAGTATGTAACACTTTTAAAAGAATTACTTGTCCAACAGTCAAAAGCAATAATGTAGTTTTAGTATTCAAAACTGCATATCAAAAAGCCCTATATTTTAGCACCCATGGAAAACATGACATTTACCATTTCTGCTTCTCTCACTCAGCGAAACGTAAATCAGTGAGACTGATGAAAAACCCTAATGAATATTCATTCACCACATGCACAGCTCCACTTTTCCATCAGCACAGCAGAAATTAAAATGTCACGCATATTGTAAGGTTAGAGTTAGAAGATTTTCAAATATTGCCGAGCACTGAGAGCTTTTGATTCCCCACTTTATGCTGAAAATGTTTTTGTATCTATAGAGATTAAAGGAAAAAAAGAATATACACTATATTGCCAAAAGTATTTGCTCACCTGCCTTGACTCACATATGAGCTTAAGTGACATCCCGTTCCTAATCCATAGGGTTCAATATGACGTCGGTCCACCCTTTGCAGCTAGAACAGCTTCAACTCTTCTGGGAAGGCTGTCCACAAGGTTTAGGAGTGTGTTTATGGGAATTTTTGACCATTCTTCCAGAAGCGCATTTGTGAGGTCGCACACTGATGTTGGACGAGAAGGCCTGGCTCTCAGTCTCCGCTCTAATTCATCCCAAAGGTGTTCTATCGGGTTGAGGTCAGGACTCTGTGCAGGCCAGTCAAGTTCATCCACACCAGACTCTGTCATCCATGTCTTTATGGACCTTGCTTTGTGCACTGGTGCACAGTCATGTTGGAAGAGGAAGGGGCCAGCTCCAAACTGTTCCCACAAAGTTGGGAGCATGGAATTGTCCAAAATGTCTTGGTATGCTGAAGCATTCAGAGTTCCTTTCACTGGAACTAAGGGGCCAAGCCCAGCTCCTGAAAAACAACCCCACACCATAATCCCCCCTTCACCAAACTTTACACTTGGCACAATGCAGTCAGACAAGTACCGTTCTCCTGGCAACCGCCAAACCCAGACCCGTCCATCAGATTGCCAGATGGAGAAGCGCGATTCGTCACTCCAGAGAACGCGTCTCCACTGCTCTAGAGTCCAGTGGCGGCGTGCTTTACACCACCGCATCCGACGCTTTGCATTGCACTTGGTGATGTATGGCTTGGATGCAGCTGCTCGACCATGGAAACCCATTCCATGAAGCTCTCTGCGCACTGTTCTTGAGCTACATGAAGTTTGGAGGTCTGTAGTGATTGACTCTGCAGAAAGTTGGCGACCTCTTCGCACTATGCGCGTCAGCATCCGCTGACCCCGCTCCGTCAGTTTACGTGGCCTACCACTTCGTGGCTGAGTTGCTGTTGTTCCCAAACACTTCCATTTTCTTATAATACAGCTGACAGTTGACTGTGGAATATTTAGGAGCGAGGAAATTTCACGACTGGATTTGTTGCACAGGTGGCATCCTATCACAGTTCCACGCTGGAATTCACTGAGCTCCTGAGAGCGACCCATTCTTTCACAAATGTTTGTAAAAACAGTCTGCATGCCTAGGTGCTTGAATTTATACACCTGTGGCCATGGAAGTGATTGGAACACCTGATTCCAATAATTTGGATGGGTGAGCAAATACTTTTGGCAATATAGTGTATGTAGGCTAAGGTTTGGCAATCACAGTAGCTTTAAGTCAAAGTGGGGAAAAAGACCTGTCAGATGTAAGACATGTCTCCTTAGTTATCTGCTTTAATGACGCTGTCCCACTCATGTCAGAGACAAGTGGGTAAGGTCTGATATAGTATCATCCAAAAATGCTGTTGAGATGAATGCAGTTTAATGTGAGGAATGAGAGGAGATTAAATGAGGAATAATAAGTCAAAGGCAAATCAATAGGGTCATTCCCACTTACCCTGGGTTCTGTCATATCGATACCAATTAGGAATATTAACTCTGCAATGAAGAGATTAATGCACAGATTCTTGTGGATGGTGTTGCGATCGCTCTGCAGGCCCCGGAAAAAGCAGAAGGTGAAGATGCAGATGGTCAGGCAGACAAGGGACACCACAATGCCGACCCGAGTGATGACAGTAAGAAGAAGTTCATGGTGATCTTGAACACGGCCCTGAAAAAAAAAAAAAAAAAAAACATCACATAATTAAATATTATACTACAAGTTTTTTGTTTTTTTTAGTCTTTCTTTAGTATTTTCTTGTACAAGTGGAAGCAAAATGTGCTGTTATTCGTAATAAAATGACTTTGCAAAAAGTCCTGAAAGATCCTGCGATAGATTAAGTGGAAAAAGCAAAAACCTTACGTAGGATATAAGAGAGAAAGAGTGACTCAACTTTAATTTCATGTAAGCGCCATTGAGACAATTAGACAACACAGATAAAAGCTCTCATCTCTCTACAAAACAAACTTTCAATGAGATCCCAAGATATCACTGAGTGGGTAAATCCTTTATATAAAATCTTCTTGAAAAAAATATTTTCTCTACCACCATTATATGTTTCCTCCATTTTATTTAATTTTTTGTGTGTATGGCTTTTTAAAGGAACATAATAGATGAAAAATAAATAAAATGTAATTTTAACTTTTTCAAGAAGCAAATATACTATCATTTTTCATAGTATAAAATGATCTGCAAACCAAAATCACTGCTAAACTGTAAAAAAACATCTTAAAACAAAACTGTAGAAAACTCTCTACTAAACTCAATAAATTAAATCAATCTACTGTTGCTAAAAGAAGTCAAAATTGGGGGCTTCCATAAACTAGTCAATTATCTTATGCTGAAGCATTTATGATAATAAGCAAACATAGCTTTAAAATGAATGTCTTAAATACATCAAATTCCCTGCCATCAGTATTTTAAAATTAGCATTTAAATGCTAATCTAGAGGATTGAAAGAACAATGATAAACTATAATTAATAATTTTTGCACACTGCAAAATACTAAAAGAATTTTTTAACATGAACTATTTTAACATTTTATCCTGTCTCCATTCTACAGTCAGCAGAAAAAAAATAATAAAAAAACAAAACAGAAAAAGTACAGTTTCTTTAGGTTTCGCAGAGAGGAAATGTGCATTTAGAAGTGAGGAGTGCCATATTCCTTAACCCTGGATAACATTGTGAACTTATTTTTTTAATCTAAAGTTAGGGCAAGTGAAGAACTATTTCTTGAGGTCAAGAATCTAATGTTTAAGAGGTTAATGTTATATGTGGTAATATTCAAGGGGACTTGTTCTCTAAGCTCAGAAGACTTCACGTTATCAGCCTCTACATAAGCAAAAAAACTGGAAGGTCACTAAGAAATCAATAAGAAATGTTTGCCTACCAGGAGCTGAAGCAGAAACCCTTTAGCCATAAATAGTTAAAAAGAGGTAAGACTTTAACATGGTAGTTTTATGTCAACCTTAATCTGAAAATGTCTAACAAATCTAAACAATCTTAGTGGTACACCACGCCAAATACTTGGAAACCACAAAGTAGGACAAAAAAAAAAAAAAACCTACTGAAGTTTCCCGATGTGCCATAAGAATTGCAAAGTTGGTGAGATGGCTGCAAGCGCAGGTTGTATGCGTTTTGTTTGAGTCCACAAGTTTGCAGCCTTGGGTGGACCAGTACCCCATCATGCTCCTCTCAGAGTAATTCCAGAAGGAGCAATTGGAGTTGAAGTAGTGCTCCATCTGCAGATAACAAGAGATATGGTTAAGTGTCCAAATAATTGACTTCCTCAAATTGAAGCACATGTAGAACACGGAGTCCATTTACCCCCTGCTCATACAAAGCATTTTTCTGCACTGATATGGATGAGGAGTTTTTTCCCCCCTTCACAGCTCTTATGAAGCAATTCATATGTTGTGTCTCATTTGGCACATGCTTTACTAAATCTACCCAAGCATGGTTGAGTATATGAGGCCTTAATAACAGTGAGGCATAATTGTTTGACGACATGTCTTTAGAATTGCACAATTTCTCTGATAAAGAATGGAGTTACACACGGCCCTCTGGGAACTCCAGTGACAACTTTAAAAGACAAAAGATAATTGGGGCTCCAGTAATTTCATCCTAGATTGTAGGGCTAATCTAGGAGTTAATTTCCCCCTCTATAAAAGAAATGGGTATCATTTATATCCCAATGTTGATTAAAGAATTAGTTTTCATTAAGAATTCACTTAGGTTCTAAAGACTCCTTTAATTTGATGTTCAGTGACTTAAATAAACTGTAGACTGACCTAGTCAGACATTTACAATTCAAATAGCAGATCTCTGTCTGCTGGCTGTCCCCTTCTGGTGTTTTTTAAGTTGACCCCACATTCGTTTTTGCAAAGAGACTTACGTCAATGTGCTGCAAGGTGAAAATGACAGGGTCATTAATAAAAACACGGCTTGACTCTTTGTTGATCGAGGCGGCGATGATGTCAGAATTGACAGCCACTGTCACATTGCGACCATAGGCCTCATTGGCCATCTTGATAGTGGCGTTTTCTGTGCTGAGGAACTGGCTTAGGTTTTTGTACAGGACAAAAACTAGCTTGGCAACACCTGCAGATGGAAAAACAACAAAACAATGACAAATAATTAGAAGAATGATTTTATACAGAAAACAGTAGTGATGCAATAAGCAAATACAACACTTGCAAAAAAAGAATTAAACTCCCTATAAAGTATTTACATTCACTTTATATTTTTGTCGTTTTTTTAACATTTGTTTAAGTTACATCACAAACTTAATTGAAAAGGAATTATTCAGACTTCTTGTAAAAGGTCCAACACAAATAGTGTATATTTTTAAATTGAAAAGAAAATTATAAAATTTTTAATTTTAGTTTATTTAGTACATATTTTTAATTGAAAAGAAATTTATGAGACCTTTTTTATTTTATTTAAAATCTTAGGGGATTTTGCTCTACCAGCTGCCATGTGTACATAGTGTCTGTGAAAATCAATTACGAGTCCTGCTGCAGATTTTAAATTGTATTTAGGGACTTTGCAGGGCTTTGGCTGCAGCACAGATTTCTACGCTTAACGTTTTCTGCAAGTGGGCCAAAAAAACAAAAAGCCTGTTTAGTGTCCATCCGTGTAAATAAAAACTACTATTGCACTGTTAGTTGCTATTCACACAGGTGGACAGTAGGCTAAAAGTTCCTGTTTTGTGGCATATTTTTTTGGACTTTGTAAAAATGTAATCCACCAGAGCAGCTCCAGCTTCTGATAGACAATCGCCTTTTGTGCTTCATTTCTGAACTCTCTCCCTGTCTGGCTTGTCAGGTAAGATGATGCCATGTCTTTATAGGTTTGCGGCTCTCATCATATTTCAGACTTACATTGTGTTTAATTATGCTGTTTGATACTGAGATTTAATTTCCCACAATTTAACTTAAAGGTATTAGAGTAAAGAAAACAGAAAAAAACAAATGCAGGCTTCAGAGTTTTTCTTTTTTTCCTTCAAGAACCCTCCCAGCTGAACTTTGGAATTATGAACTACTTTGTGGTGATTAATCACCAGATATTCAAGAAAAACCCAAACAAACCAAAAAAAACACTGAATATCGCAAGATGAAAAATATGCCAAAACTTCAACTGTTATGAAGAATTTAGCCATTTAGTATAATTGTGGTTGAAATCATAGAACTCCATTTCTGATCAGGAACACAATGTTTATTAATGTATGCATGGAAAAATGTAAAAGCGCACATTAACTCAATAGGTTTCATTTCCTACAAATCATAGCTGATTCTCTTTGTAAAACTTACCGTTTCGACTATTGAGCTTGACGGTGTTGGCGGACAGTTGGATTGAAATCCCACTCTTGCTTGACTGTGGAAATTTAAAGTCCTGGACTTGGCCGTCTGTGCTGAGCACATACACATCAAGGACTGCCGGATGCAAAGAGAGCAGAGGGATCAGTTACAAAAGAAAAATGAGGAAATAGCAGGAAAAGGAATATCGGTCATTCAAGAAGCTTTCGCTCAGATTCAAAAGGAAGAGAAAAAAGGAGCAGAGAAGATTAATACAAGGGCTCTTTTTTCAGAGATTTCTACACAAAACATTACAGTATGCAGAGCAAAGGACGCATGAATTTGTGATGTGAACACTAAATCTTGACGCGAGTGAGCTATGCAATAAAAACGTCAATCATAAAGGAACCGTTTTGTCCCTGCAAGACTCCAGAGAGTATGAATAAAACAGCTCAGAGAAAAACAGATCTTCCCCTTGATAGTGCAACAACTGAAGAAAATGAGGGAAGGAAGAGGAGGCTGTGGATAAACAATGTAATTTTTCTGACTCCGCAGCAAGCTAATGTTCACATTAATGTATAGAGTTACAAGGTCTAGACACATACATTTATAAAGTAAGTGTGCGCAATCAGAGAATCCAGTCTGTTTAATTGTCTGATATTCATCACTTTGTCAGTAAGCGACTCGTTAAACTTAATATGCACTTTTTTTCTGGTCCCCTGGGGCTTCAAGGCTTATTATGAAAACACAGTCCTTTTTTACGAGTCTGCTTTGTTTCCCTTTGTCAGGAGCGACTCTTGTAATGAACAGAACATAATCAAATTAACTTGGATTGCACTGATCATAAATGCTCTTCTGTTTTACTTACTTATATTATCTGCGGGAACCTTGACGATTGCAGGCTCCATGAGGTTGTCTGCTAGGACGAACGCGCCCTCTTCCAGAGTGTCCAATAACATGGTGGCGGCATGAGTTTGCTCTGTGCTGTTCATGTCGTGCCATGACTTTAAGGCCTCCGGTCGCAAAAGGTTGTCCACTGTGTCCACCATGGCCTGCGTCAAACCAGGTGAAAACAGATTAAACAAACAAAGGTATATAAATATATAAAAAGAATACAATTATAGTGTAAACACAGGGAAAGTTTCAACATGCAAACAATGAAATGAATGAATGAAAGTGACTAGAAATCATATTTGAAGGAATTAGATTGAAACATATTCATCCTGCCTAAACCTTTTCATCATTTGAAATGTTGCAAACTTAGCCAAATTATTGGGAGGTTATGCAATAATCCAATACGAAATAGCTACATTAATGAACAAGTAAATTTTTAAAACCAAGGAGCACACCAGACAGGCCAGTGATAAAGTGTTGGTAAACTTTGAAGTAGGGCTACAACTAATGATTATTTTCCAAATTCATGAATCTGTCGATTCTTTTTTTTTTAATTAATCAATTAATAATTGGATCACCAAAGTTTCCTTAAAGATTTTTTTACAAAATCAAACCAGGTGAAACTAAAACTTTTGCACTTGAGGAGTTCAGGATAGAGCATATTGACAAAAGAAAAAGCTTTTTTATTGTATTTTTATTGTCTCTGAACTCCAGTTAATAATTAAATGATTAATAAATTAGTTCTCAGAATTTCTATATCAAATGAAAATTTTCAAAATCCAATTCACAGTTTTATGACTTGAACAATTGTTCTCCATCTCTATTCATCTATTGTGTTACTTTGCAAAAATAAATGATAAAAAATTTAAATCTACTTAAAAAACAAAAATCTAAAAATAACACATTTTTCACTTCATAACTATGAGCACTATGTGTTAGTCTATCAAATAATTTCGAAATGTCTGGTTGTCACGAAATGTTAACTTTTTCAGAAAAAGAACAATAATTATGAATACTTTTCCATGGCAGAGATTTACTTTGATTGTATAAAATACAACAGGTAACATCAAGAAGAAAACAACAGACTTCTTTAAAGAAAGTGTTCTTGCCATTAAGGACAAACTGCTAAAGGAGACGCACAGGCACATGACTGATGGTAGGGATTCAGTTTCTTTTTCAAGGACGTTTCATCAAGGCAGACACTTTGGATCGCAGGATACTGAACGGATCAGGCCTGTCTGATCACAGGGATATTGAGAGACTGTCTGATGAGAGTAACAGGGGAGGCTCTCAATTAGACTTCTCTGATTGCAAAGATCAGTTTTCGTAAGTACAACAAGTCATTAAGAAACTCTCCAAAAGGAACTAAAAAAATGAAAGGAAATTTGAGTGATACGCCGTTATGAGTCTGTGTCTGTGTCATTCAACAACTAGGAAGAGATGGAGAACAAATGTGGAATGCGGCATCCAAACAGATGCGGGTAAAAACAGGAAATAATCAAGTCGATAGATCTAATCGCATAATCAAAGTTATCGACGTCTGGTGGAAGGGGTGTGGGGTGGTTAATGTGATGTTGTGTCAGGTATGGCAGATGTTAGATACTGCTGCCTCCATGTGTTGGGATATGAAATATGATTTTAAATTTCTGTTTTCTATAATGTTTTATGATTAGAATTCATTTTTTGGCTTAATTCTAGTGCTACTACTTGTTTACAGGCTAATTAGTTTGATCTATTCTAATGCTCTTCCAAAGGAAAGATTTGGGGGTCGTTGGGGACATGTCGTCCCTAAAGCATCTGGGATGTGAGGACAACATACTTTGGTGCTTCTAGGTATTATTTTAATCTGATGGGGAGAGAAAAAAGGAATAATACAATAAAATACAATAAAAAGGAATAAAACAAGATTTGACTTGTAACCCACTAATCAACAGACAAAGCTGCAGATAAATCGGTGTCCTTGGAAAACAAAAGCTTCCATTTCTACTCTGCATGCAGTGAAAGGGTTAGGTGTTGGCACCTTTTAAAAAAATTATCATGAATCACATCTGAACAAGAAAAGGTTTTTACAAAAGCTCTCAGAAAATGATGAAAAAGGGCAGTGAACCCCTTCATTAAAAGAATAATGAAAGGGATGGAAGAATAAGGTACTTTATTTGAGTTGTAGTGTTATGGAGCTAGACATGCAGCCTCAGCAAACTAAATAAACACACAGAATGGGTTGAGAAATGAAGGACCAAAAAACCATCATAATCATCAATGCAGAGCGGTGAGGGCAACACAGCGACACATTCACAATATAGATACAATTAATAGGAAGCTGCCCATAACGGGGCATGTCTTCTCCTTGTCTTAGAGTGCACTTTGCGTACAACTGTGGCTGTGCGTCTAGCAGTGATTCAGAAAAGCAGGAAGTGCAAGGACGGGGTTGGGTGGTGCATTACAGTGCAGTAGGTGCATGCTGCTGGACTTGGGCTTGGACAAATAAAGAGAGTTTGGGGAAAGAGGGAACAGCAGCAAGCAACGTGGGCAGAAGCATTGCTTCAGTACCTTCATGTATGCCCTGCATGTCCTTTCTCGTTTTTGAAGCTTTGTTTTTATCAACAAAAAAAAAAGAAGAACAGATGAGACAGGTAATTTGCACTACATCACTTGTTTGGAGAAGAGATGGGTAGAAAAAAAAACATGTCTGATAAATGGATGTAGAAACTTTTTAATAAATGAGTGCTGCAGCCACTCCCTATTGCCTTGTGCCACTGACCTGCTTGTAAAGAGATCTAAGAATAAAAGTGTTGCAGCTAATATTCATTACATGCCGTATTTCCTTACCCATCAAGTTAGCATATGTCAAAGGATTTATGCCACCATATTTTGGCCACTGAGGTAAAACACGCTAAAAGAAAATCTGCTTTAGCGCTGTAGCTGCTTAGATTTTTGTGAGTCAGTTTACACTCTTCACCATTTTGATCAAGTATCGACTAGCCTTTATAAGGTTTTACCATGCAGATTAACATGCTTTTCATATTTTCTAGAGGGAATAAATAAAAAATTGACGTCTGATGTGTACAGTACTGAGCTTTTATCGATGCGGTTACCTTATTGAAGCTTCGTCCAGCAGAATCCTTCTCACTGGGTCTGTATTCCTGCAACTGAGCATCGAGGATGTCCACCAGCTGCTCCATTAGACGCACAGATGAGCTGACGTCACCGGCGAAGATCTGGCCTTTGGTGTGCTTGGCCAGCTCATTGGCTAAGTTAGCTGCGTTTTCACCACTGCGGATCTGCATGAGTAGAGGGTGAATAATCAGAGCAAAGACAGAACAAGACAGACTTCTAGGCTCTTCTCTGTACCATCAATTTCACTTGAATAAGCCCCTAAAATACCAGGTTTACTAGTCCTTGTATTAGCTTTTTACCGGATTTTAATATTTCAGTCTGATAACTTTACAATTTTTGCAACACCCACATTAAATGGTTATCCTTCAACATTGTTTATTCTCTTAAATTGACTTTTCTTCCTTCTTTTCTACATAAAGCACTTTGAATTACCCTGCATATGGATGGTTTTACACAAATATGCTTACAATGAAAAAAGCAAAACCATTTAAACAAATCTATTTCATGTATAAGGCATTTCATTTACAGCAAAATATGAGATCTGAAGTATGGGCAAAGGTAGCAACCTTTTTAATAAATCGATGACACACAAATCAGTGCTCAGCAACCTCCTCCACAGAAGATTTTAGTAATGTATGTTTTTAAAACATGTATATGAGATGTGTCCTTTTATTTAAGATGTACATATGGTGTTCAAAATAGAATATTACTAAAGCTATAAATATTTTATGTATGTTTTCTTCACATAGTTCTTTTGTAAATATTTAGATGTAAGTGATCCATCAAAAAACCCTAAACTTGAAAGTGAACCTTAGTAAGGGCATACAATTCCTAATATTTAGTGTAAAGTATCTTTCTTCGATCATTTGTACTTTAGAGATTTTGTCACATTGTTGCCACAAGTTGTAATGTCTAATTACAAAAAGTGGTGCATATTTATTAAGTTTGACATCTATTTGTATGCAGTCACCGTTTTTGATGCTCCAAAATAAAATTCATAGCAACTAGCTGGATTCATATCATTGACCAGTATATAATTTTGTGATGACCTCAGGTAGTTTTCTGACAGCATTGGTTAACAAAATGCACCATAAATAAGAATAAAGGCTGGTCTGGAATAAATCTCTCTGTAAGCTTCAAAGCAAAAGACGATGGTCATAAAGCAATATCTCAAGCTCTAAACATCTTATAAACAGCTATAATCCATCATCAGAAAATGGAAATATTATGGCACAACTGCAAATCTAAAAAGACGGAGACCTAAATCTAAACGAATGGAAAAGGCAGGGAGAGTATTAATTAAAAAGCACCCAAGTGACAGCTCTAGAGCAATGCTGATGGATCCTTTTATTACATGGACCAAAATAACAGTTCACAAAGCTGAAAGTATTCCCTTTAATCAGCAATAATAAAGCAATAATGTGGCCTCTTTACCGGCTTACCGTATCAAATAACTAAAATATGTTTATAATTTTAGATTCAAGCATAAAAGGGGTTTTGCATACCTTCTTTGGTAAAAGGAAGGTAGTCAATACACCATGGCTACCTTACTAGTTACTGTGAAATTTTAAGGAAAAAAGTATAGTTAGGAACAGTTTTTTTCCTATGAATTTATATTTATTGGTAAACAAAGGCTTCATCTTCATCACCATTTTTTGATGAGATGCCAATCAAGAATAGTTTAATTCAGGTGCTGCACATTCATTTGGGGACCCTTAAATTATTCTATTATGGAAGGTTGGCAAGAAGGAAGCCACAAGATTCTTTGTTTAAAGTTTGCAATGACATGGCTAACATCATGGCAGAAGGTATGTCAGATGAGATCCAAACTAAATTGTTTGGTCTGGATGCAAAACACCATGCATGGCAGAATTTTACCATTGCATATCCCAATTTATACAGAATCTATACCATGGAAGCTGGTTGTCGTGGCATTGTGTTGACTTAAGGCCAGATTCACCCTCAAGAAAGACAAGTAACTTAAGCACACAAACAGGTTGTATGTTAATGTTAAGATGTTAATGATATTCATGTTCTAGAATGGTCCAGCAAAGTCTAGAGCAAAATTAAGCACAAATCTTTGGCAGAAATTAAAGATTGATGTTCTGACACTCTCAGTCTAAATCTACAAAAAGAGGTGTCTCTACAAAGAAAAGAAAGAAAGAAAAAAGAAGGAAAGCAGATCAAATATTCCTTCATTTAAAATGATGTGCAAGTTTATTGTGATCTCTGATAAAATAAGAGTAAAAAAAAATCCTGCCTGTAACATCACAATGTAATATCTCACAATATGTTTTCATGTAGTCTTGACCTTGATTTGATAACAAAGCAAAACAAATTAAATGTACATGTTCATTATTTTATTATTATTTTCTTTAGCAAGAGATTCTACTTATAAAAAGCTCAAACAAACCTTTTGGGCCAGCTGGTTGACCCAGTGGGAGGTACAGTTGCTAAGATCAGGGCCCTTCGGGTGCCAGTCCCCAGTTGAAAGAACACATAAATAAGATGCTGTGCCTGGCAGGAAAAAAAACAACAAAAAAAACAAGGAAAGATGAGTCAGTTTGAAACATCTCAAAAAACTGTTTTTTTCAAAGGACCTCAAAGTACAAAAGCAAAAATTAAACCATGAAACAATATAGAAGTCAGGTGGTCATGCAAATGTAGGGATGACATAAACCCTAAAAAATATCACCTTGAAAAGTCTTTTATCTTTTTCTCAGATTAAGTTTGCAACGGTTAGGGTTGCAATTTACAGTAGAATCGCACTCCAAACACCAATCAGATTCTTTTATTTTGTGAGGGGGTGGATTGTTTTCTGGAAATATCTGTTACACTTTTTGCATGCTTTTGCTCTACAGTGGCAAATGTTTCCTGTCTTCTAATCAGTCGCTTGTTTGATGAACTCCACACACAATTTCACACACTATCAAAAGAAGGATGCAGGTCTCTATGTAAGTTTAGAAAGAAACATGTGAGTCTGCTTGCTTTCCAGCACAGTTATTACCCAGTGCATAATCACATTTAGAGCTAGAATTGAAAAGGTAAATGCTGACTGAATTAAATTGTTGTTGCTTAGCTCAGTACTGAGTTTTTTTTTTGTTTTTTTTATAGAAACACACTGGTATGCAGGAGTACTAGTCTGATATGGGAAACTCAGGGATGTTCTCTTGAGATGCTTAAGGTTTATCATACACAGCGCGCCCACATCCCTGTGGTGAGACAAGGCCCTGTTTACCTCGTGTCCCCTTAGGACAAGGTCGCTCCACCACCATACCCCGCTGGGTCTGAGGCCACATTATGTCTCTTTTCTCAGTAGCCTTGCAGAAGCGCTCAGGTAAGGGGAACGACTCCAGAGGCGGAGGGGAAGTTGTCTGTAGGATTACAGGCGGCGGCCTGGGCGCCCGCCTGCTGCCCTCCTTAAGCACAGTCGTGGTGGTGTTAGCTGCACCCCGGTGGGCCGTGGTTGTTGTAGTCACGGTGGTAGTCCTCTGGGGCTGAATGGCAGTTGTGACTTCTGACAGAGGTGGTGCTGTGCAGACAGATGGGGGTTGGATTGGGAGAGAATTATGATTTGGTTGTCATGTCTAGATCAGTGGAGAAACCACTGTCATTGCTGAGATTTATAAACTGTGCTTTAAAGGGAGACACATTGAGACATTTTGTGAGAAGAAAAGAAAACATAATGCATTACATAACACCAACAGGTAGTAAGCTCAGCTTGTTTTTTGGGACCACTCATATGTATAATGTACACAGATTATATATATATAAAAAAATTAAAAGTGCATTGCATTTTTCATGCTATTTGAATGGACATAGTCTCAAAGTATCAGATGCTCACATCTGACTCAAATGACAATACTCAGCATGCTAAGGGTCTCAGAGTTAATGAAGCCCACATGTAAAAGAGAGGATAGAAGGAAATAAGCATTCATCTTTGATCTCATTATCATAATCATTGCAATTTTTACAAATTCAAGACTTCCTGATGCAACCTTTTAATGCAAATGCAAATATATTCACACACCTTATTTTTTTCTCCTAACATAAAACATGCTTATGAAAGGTAAACTATATCATATACCAACACATGATCTGAAAGAGAAAAAACAGGTACCGGTAAATGTTATTTTTTTATGTTGCTTTAAAAAAAAAAAAAAGAAAGAAACGTTTTTGCACATATATTTCCCCCCCCATGAGTCAGACCTCTGCAAAACCATTACAAGTTGCAACTACAGTAACACATTTTAAAAGTGCACATGTACATGAGCTTGCCAAGCCTAAAGTTTAGTTTTTTCTTTAATTTCCTACATTATTTGAGGGAATCCGTAAAAATCAATGTTTAAGTTTAACACAAAAATATGACTAAATCTAAATCCTTTCATTATAGCTCAGTTTGAATGTCTACTGGTGTTTTCTTTCTAGAAGGTGTACATAGATTCCAGTCTCAATTCATATGCTGCCTTAAACAGGTTTTGCTTAAGGATTGCCCTGTAGTTAGTGCCGTGCGTTTCCTAATCAGCTCTGACCAGCTTCCTTGTCCCTGCTAAAAAAACTATTCCAAATAATATCATTTGCATTCTACCATATTTGTGGAGTCTTACTGATATTTTGTCTCACCTAATGTCAGCACATTCTTTCCTTTGTTTGTTACCTACCTGGCTTGCGGCTAAATTTCAAACAGAGAACCATTTCTTTCGGCTAAGGGCTTTTTTTGTTTGTGCAATTCTTCCAAAAAAGCCAGATTTGAGAATAACAGTAATATCCTTCCAGAAAATAGAGCACCAGGGTTATGCATGTAGAATCTACAAGTTTACCAGAATCTTTTGATTGGTTCTCAGACTAAAGCTGCCTCATGTAACTTATCATTTTCTGTCAATAGTCTTCTTGGAAACTTTGAGGTATTGCCATCATGTTATAAGATCTACTGATAGAACTGTGCTTTGTAAGTTGTTCAAATCTTAGGATGTTTAAAACTTCTCAGCTAATCTGGTGAGTTTTTTTCCATCACCCTGTTACTTAACTAATATTCTCTAACACACCTCTAGGATAAAAAAAATATAAAAATCAGAGAATAAATTACACACTTGTTGCACTATTTTGGAATAAGGAAAGGTATTATACATCAAAATGGTGTAAAACTTTGTTTTTGGCTCATTATGTACAAAACGATACAAACTTACAGCTTTAACAAGAAAAATTCATGTCGCAAAACTATTTTTACAGGACTCTGTATCCTGTAAAAGTAGCTGACATATCCAGGATCTTCACTGTATTACCTCCTGTGTTTTGATTACTGCTTGTTCAAGTTGATGAGTCTGAGGAGAACAAGACAGTAATTAGAGTAACATCCTTTTGGCAATCATTCTTGCCTAGAAGAGCTTGTGGCATGGCTAATTAAATTTCACTGGAGCAGTCCCGACCAGTCCGTATAGCCACAGTGCTAGAACATTGATTTTAAAGTTATTCCTTCCAAACACTCTGCTACAGTAGCTATGTCGTAACTCATGCAACGCCTGGGGCAAAACCAATATGTCTTACTCTTAGGAAAAAAAAAAGGAAATACTACACTCATAACATCAGCCACGAAGGAAAAAGAGGACATATTTTATGAGATTCACTGGAGCAGAGTGAGTAGGTCTGTATTTACATTTTATAGAAAGTCAAATATAAGGAAGTTCTGCATGAAATGATACCTTCCTAAAATGAATCCATTCCACTTTCACATGTGCTAAACAAAACCAGATTCCCCTGTCAAAGATATTTGTTGTGTGAATTTAAAAAGGATAAGCTCCATCAATCAAAGGAGGTCTGACTGGAATGCTGTGTGCATGCTGAATCTAATCGTGTTTGAGCACTTTGATTTCCTCCATTAGGCTGCCTGTAGAGCATGCAGAGAAAGTGAAGAGTTGCTGTTACACTGCTTGAGTTGAACACAGTCGTTCTCAGTAGCTCCCCGCAGCAAGGGGAAAACACGAATGAGAGAGAGCCAATGTGATAGAAAGACAGTCGGGATTCACAGGCAGATCTAGGACGAGGGTAAATGCAAAGGGCTGGTGGGAAAATAAATTAAAAAAAATAGAAGAACACAGAGACAGAGGATGATGACAGAAATTTTCTGAAACAATACAGCGTCTTCCCACTAAGGAATGGACAGTTTCTGTCTTCAGGTAGATTGCAGGAGAGGCAACCAGACCCCAGGTGACAACACTTCCATATCTGTTGCCTTCATTGGATAATAGGTCTCGCTGACAGCAACCCCAAATCTCCCACCACTGCGCACACCCCCACCCCAACTGCTACAACCATAGGCCCACAGTGCGGATGAAGGCTTCAGCACAGTAGAGCTGAAGGTAAGATGCCTTTAAGGCTCTTTGCTACCTGTGGTGAAATAGGCTCTATTGACCAAAGGAGTGCTCTGTGTGCTACCTCCTGTTGTGGACTTGAGAGCCACACATACACACGCAAGCAGGAGGATGTGAGGGTATACACAGATGACTGGCATTTTTGACTGTGAGCTGAAGGCGGATTTGGTTGGCTGAATTCACCTTGTCTTTTTTGTACCTCCTCCCCTACATTCATGTTTTTACTCAACACTGTGAAATGGTCAACCATAAACCCTCTTACAGTGACTGAGAGACAAGCTGTCTGCAGTGTCCTTTAATATGAAGGTGACATACCTGAACCCTTCGTCTGCTTTTACATTTCTACAGTATGTCTTAGAAGTAAATTCAGGTTAATTCAAGTTAAATATAACTTTTTTAACATTTTTGTTTATGCAATTTTATGATTCTCATACTGGGTCAACAGAGCATATAAGTCAATATTTTTTCTTTTAAAACATCTGGGTTGGAAATGTTTGGAAAATTTCCAGAATATCTCCAAGAATCTGTGAGGCCCTCTAAAGGTATCCCATTTCGAAATGATGGAAGATAAAATCTTAGAACTCCATTGGTCATGGGGTGCTGGGGTTTAAAACACTGACAGAAATAAAATGAATCACAGTTCACAGGCATGATTTGAGATAAAGAGCTCCTAGTTACAGCCAATAAATCAGAGAGACATCTACTGTGATCCAAGTACATTCCTGAAGCTTGTCAACTAGCAACTGTATCTTGTCAACACTCTCATTCAACAAGGCTCCTTTTTGTGGCCCTAGGCAAATGTTGGGTTTCATGGGTCTGTTTATAATAAGTGTCTTTGAAGTTTTGGTTTTCCATCCCTACCTACTATCACCATTAGAATTACAGAGAAAATTTATGTTTTGACAAGTTAGCATGAAGCTAAAAATGTGGCATTAGACATTCTTAAGCTTTTAGACACTAACTGTGCCATACGTGTAACTTATAGGTTTAGCACCCCTGAAGGCCAATGGCAAACCTGCACTGTTGCAAAATGAAACAGTCTCTCTCTGTGTTTTGGAATCTGACAGCAGACCTCTTTGGACCAGCAGATTAAGTCATGGAGTTCTTTGTAAAGATAAGATGACATCCACCCAAATCAGAGAACCAAAGATATTTCTGATCAGGTAGGTGTCATATCTATTTTGTCTCCCAACAACAACTTTTAGTTAAGTTATCTCTCATGTTTAAGGAGATTTCAGACTGCCGAAAAAGCGTTCATCTGGGTCACATGACTCAATTAGCGATGGATCCGACCGTCTCAAGTAAAATAGGATTTTTTTTTAAAGGGCCAGCCCACACGGAACAAGGAGACACACCATTGAGCGTACATTGAGAGTAAAAATCAGTAAACATATCTCTAATTAAACTACTGAAATACTTAAAAGGTTACACAGTGTTATTTTAACATTAGAATTGCTCTTAAAAAAGATGTGCAGAGAACTCAAATGTTTACAATCCATAATACTTGAATTACAAATTTGAATACTAAATAGGTTCTTATGTTTTTAGATGAGAATGTAATAACATTTTTAAAGTGTCATGGTGTACCCCACTTTTAATTTTTTTGTCATAATGTCCATACAACTTAGACTTTTTGCTAAGACGAATTAAAAAACTGTAAGTTGTAAATGTAGCAAAGCCGCCATCGTTCTCACTCACCAGCTAGTTATTGAAATAAGCAAAAAGAAAATGATTTTTACACTACATAATAAAGAAAAAAATGGGTGTTTGGGGACTAAGTGGTTATACTACATTAGCCTTGCCGGAAAAAAGTTTGCTTTTCCATTTTGATTAAAATCCGGTATGGGTCACCCATGTTCGTATATGCCCATTAATTTTTTATTTTTTTTTATTTTTTTTTTTTTTTATTTTTTTTTATGTATATGCCCATTAATAAGAAAATAAAGTCATATTAGCATTGGGGAAAAAAAAGGCACTGGTAAAGGTCCAAGCTACAGCTGTGCTATAACAGGCCTCATTAATGAGGAATAATACAACGCAGACACATTAGATGAAAGGCCTACTATAATCCTGTTGGTGGGGTTTTCACGTCATGTTTATGATACAATGTAATCCTCTTTCCTGTGTGTAAAGAAAGGTCAATCTGAATGTAGGCTATTCTTCCCACTGAGATTTCAAAATGAACAATGCAAGCCTCTCTGACCACTGTTTTTTTATTGTGTGTGGTATGCTAGCTCACATTTCTGCCAACGGCACACTAATCTTATTACCTATATGCAATAGCCTGGTTCAGTTTAATCCACTGAAAGCAGGAAGGAAGAAGCTAAGGTATTACAAAAAAGGCCAACTCCACTCACAGAGCTGTCCAAGTGAATATGTCTATAAGTGGATGCTGTGAAGGATCGTTATTGATCTGTAAGAAAACTGCACGGGTCTTTTTGTCTAATTTGTGACATCTTGTCTTTTACTGCAACGTCAGATGTCTGACATCGTAGGTGCATTCCCTGAATTATATTCTTTAGTTAACAAAGTGAGTGAGTTAAAGTTTTTTGACTACTTTGGACTACATCCAAAACCAGGACAGGATTCTTGATTATTATATCTCTCCTGATCTCAGCCCAAGGGGAAGCTTCAATTAGCTGTCACGAAGTGCGAGTGCATAGACTGATATTCTCCAAAGTACAGCCAATAGTCAGGGAAGGCTTATTCATAACCACTTTGTGTGATCCGATGCCCACACACTGTGGCATTTCTTGGTGGTTCTGTTATTACCGCTGGGGTTACAGGTCTGGGATCGATGACAGAAAATAAGACAGGAATCAAAGAGATGAATGTGGCTTGTCAAGTGTTGTCAGCATATGCATACATTTACAGTAAGAACTTAGAAGCAGAGGAAAACACACTCACTCACACACACACACACACATACAATCCCTACGCTTATATGAAGCCTAGATGAGACTTTATCAGGATTGAGTACTCGTGTCAGGGTGACAAATGGAAAACCCCAGCATTTATGTCAATTATATCATATCTGGTACTGACTCTGGGTGGTTGTTCATCAGGGTAACATTTTGTGATTTTTATCAGGTTCTACTTATCTTTTGACAGAGGAGAAAATCATGAGGAAAAAAAAACTAAAAAAAGAAAAACTTTCCATCAGCTTTCTCTTTACTCGTATAGTGGTATTAGGCGAGGTTTCACGAGAAGGCTACCTTCTCTTTTCCATCCTTTTGGAAAAATTGCATTGATCAAAGGTTTAAAAAAGCTGGTCATTTTTACTAAATGAGCCCTTAAGAAAAATCACATTATAACAATAAGATACTAATAAACAAATTAGACATGTGGTTAAAATAGCTATATGACTATTCTAAAATTAACTGTGTTTCACTAGTTATCAATAAGTCTGAAACTGTAACACCAAATGATTTTTTCCAATCAGGGCATGCAGCATACATAAGCAGAAGAACTTATTATCATAAACACACCCTTCAGTGTGGACTGTATTTGAGATTATAGAAAGGAAAAACTTGCTTAAGAGTTGCAAGAAACTGGTTACAAGAAAACAGTATTTAATATGTGTAGGGAAACATTGCTTGACTTAATTTTCAGCCTCGCTTTAGATTGAATATACTCCATTTATGAATGTTGTAAAAAAAATGAAAAATCAAACTGAAGTCTTCCTTAAGGCTTAACATTGATTTTTATTTGTTTCAAAATATTACTGAAAACTAGATTTTATAGAAACTGCAAAATAAAACACATATCTGGTGTTTATGTGAAGTCCAGAAGTATTATGAATGCCATTATTTTTTTTATAGAAACTACAATTTGGCAAAATTTGTATTATTATAACAAGGGTAGATTAATGGCTATAAAGTTTTTTTTGTCCTTAAGTAAAGTGTAGTTTTAGAAATGTTTCTTAAAAATTAAAACAATCTCTGCTGGACTCAGCTCGGTTGCATTTAGGTTCATAGGGAAGTAGAGCTGTTATTGACAATGAAACAGTGTAATGAGTATATCAAGTATGTGATGCATTTGATATCTACCAATAACAGCAATGACACACACAGAGGAAATTGGATTACACATCTTTCACTTGGTGTTGCATGCATAGCTGTGAAAGCCAACAAGGCGTGTGATTGCTGGTACATCAGCAGTAAATATGAAGAAAGCTGAGAAAAATTCACATAATTTCCCAGGAGCTGTGTCCTTGTGAAGTTTGTTCAGCACACATCCAAGTCTTAGGAAACAAAACCTAATAGATGTTTTACGTTATTTACTGCTGGGTCTAACTTGTTGCTTTCTGACAGAGCCAATGCATCGCTTCATATGGACAGAGGCAAGGCAGCACACTCCACTTAAACCCAAGCAATCGCAAACATGTACACATTCATATAGAGCTCCACAAACAACATAACAACAAAGTAAAGGAAACAGACACAGCAGCTGCCAGACTACATTTTCTTTTTATCTTCTTCCAGCTTTTTGTAACGGTGCGTGCCTCAAATTTCAAGTATTAACTCAAACTGTGCCAAGCAGACAAAAAATTAGATCCAGTGAGCGACAGAGGGGGTCATTCGGGCACAGGCGTAGAAATGACAACCCAAACTCAGGCACACACATGTATGAGGGGCTGGAAACTGCTTAAGCATGCATGCAGACAACAGCATAGCTGTAGAAAGTGAAAGACAATTTCGCACATGTACAGATTAATGGAACACAGACTCCCAGAGACACAATAATCAGACTGTGTGAAATAAAGCTCCTCAAAGGCATGTGTCAGGCAGTGATGGGGGACCATTGTGATGTCTGAGTAATAATTCTTTTAATACACGTTGTTTCACAGTCTGACTGTAATCAAACAAGAAACTGCGGATCCCCTTGGCTATAGGGCTCAGTGTAACCATAATCATTGCCTCTTTCTCTCTCCCTCTCCTCATATTATGTAAAGCAATGCTTTATGACATTTTAAATCATAAGTCCAGGTCTGCTGTTGCTTGAATTCTTGTATGTTGTTGGTGGGTATCATTTAACAGCACTCTGTACAGCAGTTTAACTTCAGCAGTTGACAGCCCAAGGCAACGAATTACAAGCAGTTTGGGCTTTTGATAAAACATCATGTTGAGGTGTGTTCGGGAAAGGCCTTGTTTAATGGCCTTATCTGGTACCAACAACTGACCATAATGTTTTACACTAGAGAAGCAGAAATGATTATATTTCAGAGAAAACAGGTCTGGGGTTAAGTAGCGAGAAGCCCCTGGGTGCACATAGGCATGGGCTGTTAGACGGTTGTAGCTGATAACTTAGTGCAAACGGAATATAGGCATATTGAAACAAAGATGTAAAGAAAACAGCAAAATGAAATCATAAACCTTTCATTATGACACATTTTGCCAACTAGTTTTAAAATATTCACCCAAATAATAGTGAAGAGGGCACTAGTCTAGCGACCACAGTGAAGAGCTACTTCACCAAAGCTGGTCCTTAGAACCTGACAGAGTGTTTAGGCCAGATAACTGCGCTAAGTTTGATTCAGCCTGTATACATAGAGGCAGCGTGAGGGAGATAGAGCCTGAATCTTCCTCTCCCTTCTGGGTAAGACAACAGCTCCATCACTTTGATATAGAACCAAGATTTTCAGTTGAGCTACAAGCCACATGTAGGCCTCACTTCGGATCGCTGTTATCTACAGACAGCCTGCTCTGTGTGCAAGCTGCCATCAGTGTGTTAGGGCTCATCAACTCATCAGTTTCTGTCAAATATTGTTTTTTTAAACTTTGATAGATGAAGTTAATATTAAGAACCCTTCAATGGGTTCATTTAGAGGCTGTGCCGTTTCTAGTTTGCTTCAGAATTACATAAATATAGCAGGTTCAGTCTGGATGTGTGCAGCTGTGAAAAAAAGGTCCTACTGCTAAAGAGAGGTTTGACCCTAACTTTTTCGCTCAAATCTAAACATGTCACACAAGCAGAAATCTATAAACAGGATCGATAGGAATGCAGCAAGTATAGAAAGCTGAAAGTGCACCACATTTAATTCATTACACAGGCACATTAGTTCTGTTTTTAAATTTTGCAAATTTGAGGTGGATGCATCAAATTAATAATACTAAAACAGTGCTAATGAAATCAATAATGAAATGTTAAATTATTCATCATT